ATGGCGTCCAATGTTCAAATCCAAAACTAATTTATGTGGATTGCTTGTAAAGGTGAGTGATAACAAAGATTTACAGACAAAATAATTCCTTACATCTTAATTCTACTTTTACTTCTTACTCAAATTTAGATGTTCAGGTTTTCATTGATCATATTCTGACACATTGATCTCGTATTTGTCTTTCTGCGCTGTCATCGACCGTCTGGTCCAGGAAATGGAAAATTAAAGTGATGTCATTTCCCCAGGTGGCCGACTAATCGTTATGTCATTCTGTTATGCATATGTGATGTGAATGGGAGGGGCTGACAGCAGACACATCTGCAAATATAACATCCAGTCCTAATGTTGCTCCATCCTCCACTATCAACTTCATCAAGTATTTTATCTGTGGAAGACTGAACCTGCCAAAACTGACCAAAAAAACCCATAAATTTTTTAATAAATAAGGAAATAAAGTTGAAAATAAGAAGTGCATAGATAAACGTGAAAATAAATATTAAAAAGGAAATTAAATTGAAAAAAATTATAATTAAGGATTAAAAGAAAAAATAAAACAGAAAACGTAAATGAGAAAATAAAATTGAAAATTAACAAATATATTGTTAAATAATACATTAAATGTGTTGTAATTATTTATTCCCACCTTAATTTATTTGTTGTGTTGGCAAGTCCAGCGTTTTATTGTCAATTTTGGCAGGATTAGTCCTCCATATGTGCCTGCCAAACTAAAGACAATAAAACGCTGGACTTGCCAACACAATACAGCTGCTTGAAACAAAGATGTATCTATTAAATAAATATAAATAATAAGAGAATCTTCTGATTTAAAAGAAGCAGAAAGATTCACATTAGAATAATTATAACTTTCTTCTACAGATGCTGCCTTTTGCTTTTTGAACATTTTGGTTGTAGGATTAAGAAAATATGAGCAGATAGTTGTTTGTGACAAAAATAGGCAAAAGTAATATATTTCCTTCACTGTGTTTTTATGTTTGATATTCATAAAGTAAATAATAAAAGCCATGCCAGAAAGTGTTTGTCAGTTTAGTGATCAGTTTTATTTAGTTATTTAGGAACGAGAAAAAACGTTTTCCATGTTTTATTATTACTCAACTTTGAAATTAAAATACGATATTTCAGAATTATTTGTCATTTTTGATACTTGAAACTGAAGTGACCTTACAGTGACATCTGAGGTTGAAGCGTATTTGTCTTAAATACATTTAATTTCTGAATGAACAGGATCCAACATCACAGCTACAGACGTATCCAGATGTTTGACACATCAGATCCAGATTAAATCCCTACTAAGTTAAAATAAACTCTTTCATTTATAAAAATCCTATTTCAGTATCTTCTGCTCAATTTAATCTCCAAACGTCTTTAAAGTCACTCAGAACCAAGATGGAGGATCAATCGTGTGAGTACTGAAACTTCACATAAATTTGATGTATTTGTTTATAAAAAGCTTCAGAGGGAAGCAGGTTAACCATAATGGAGGCGATTATGTGCCAGGTCCAGTCTCTATTGACCCGGCCGTTCGCTGCATGTCTCTGCTCGCTCCAATAAAGCCCACAGAGCCATAAAACCAGACAAAAGCTTCCTGGTTTGTAGTGCCATTACTGTTTAGTTGGAGTCGTAAATGAGACTTTGGGAAAAGCCAAATAGTCGTTAACTGGACGGTAAAAGAAGTAGAAAGAAACTTTAACAATCTCAAATCATTGTGTTTAAAACTGAAGTTCTACCTGGATTATCAGGACGGACTGGATTATTTATCTCCTGTTTGCAGATGTGGAGCCACTCAGGAAAACTGATATGAATCATGATGCAGAAACTCAGCCAAGCTTTTGATGCTTCAGCTGGACGGATGAACACAGTTTGGTGAACTGACAGAAAGTCACTGGAGTCTCCTCTCTCTCTGGTTCACCAAAGAGAAACTGAGCTACAGATCAACTCAGGTAATTCAGCAACACAGGAGAGGAAGAAAACAGGGAAGTAAAAGAAATACTTAGTGGAGAAAACCAAAGACGGGTGGATGGATGGATGGATGGATGGATGGATGGATGGATGGATGGATGGATGGATGGATGGATGGATGGATGGATGGATGGATGGATGGATGGATGGATGATGGATGACTGGTTGGATGCTTTAGCTCCCCTCTCAGTTTATAACCAGAAAAAATGGTTATATTTTTGTTTACACGCTGTTTTGTTAGCCTACTTTTTAAAGTTTTAAATAAAGCGTAATCTTCTCAATCCTATGGTGACCTCTGACCTTTTCTGCGTCCTGCTGCTGCCGTCTCTTCTCCAGGGCCGCCGCCCGGCGCTGCTGCTCCTTCCTCCTCTGCTGCTCCATCTTCCTCCCTCGCTCCTCGGCGCAGCGCTCCAGCTGCTGCTGCGCGCGCCGCTCCTTATCCTGCAGCGACCGCTCTGATGGCCGCCCAGCAAAGAGACAAACACACTCACCAAATGCTCACGTTTCACACAAACCCACTAAAAAATGCTGCCTTTAAATTGTGATTGATGTTTTTCCCTGTTGGTGTTTGGAAGTGGCGCCACCTGCTGGAGAACTGACCTTGTGTTCTCTGTCTGCTCTCTTGTCTTTCTTTAGATAAATTCAGCTGAGAGCCTTGAGAAATGAGAAAGAAGATAAATATTCACTTATGCATTAAAATGTCAGAGTCGCTTCATTTTAATCACAAACATTAAAAACTATATTTATCTACTAAATAACTCCAATAAAATGCATTATTTTAGGTAAACAGTAGTGTTGCTGGTGTTTACCTGTAGGGCTAGATGGTGACTGAACAGGTGATGCGTGCCTGCTGCTGGTCAGTGTTGCAGGAGGAGGAACCAAAGCTGGGATTTTACAGATAAACACATCAGCAACATTAAATATAAATCCAATTTCTGCTCGCATTCACAGCCGGCAGTCAAAATAAAATGAATCAGCTGTCATGTCTGTGTGGAGGTTAGGGTCAAGGGTCAGAGCAGAGCTGTCTGAGCAGAACCCTTGGAGCCTAACCTCCAGCCATGTTGTCTTTTTGTCACAGTCAGTCTCTCAAACTGACATGAAAACAGCCAGAAGACGTCAGTGGACAGATGGAGGCTCACAAACATCTAAAAACAGATTCTCAGCTCAGTCATCAGATATGCAAATATATGCAAATCTCAGTTTAGTCCCAACCTGACCACAGTTCTGGTTCCACTTTAATTAACCACGGGATGAAATTACATAACTTACAGTCATACAGTGTCACCTTCTTTATAATAATCTGGATGAAGGGCTATACAGAAAAAAACACTTTAGATATAACAATGTGCTCCTTATTTACATTTTCCTGGCTCTAAGCCATCAAATTAAATAACAAAATGTCCATTTACTGGTTAATACATTTCACTCCGATAGTGTTAATAATTTCACCTGACAGTAGTTATAATGTTATGCCTGATATGCAGACAAAAGACTAAATATAATAATAACAACAAAAACATTGGATCAAGGATCAGCAGTGTTTTAAATATGTTTCTCAGGTACTAATTTAGACAAAAAGAGGGCTAATCCATACAACTATTGCATAGGCAAACACATATCCTTGTCACTTAAATATTATTTAAAAACTGAAATATCAGGAACTGCATATCAGCACCGTAAAATAGTTCTGCGATTATTTCATCATACATTCCACATGAGCCTGTGTGGGAGCAGCTGAACGCTCCCGAACCTCAGTTAGCCTTACCTGCCGTGTCAACACGCCTCGGAACCACCTGGGTCATCGTGTATGTTCACCACAGGAGCCAGACGGAACCAGGACAACTAGCCGAACAGCTCCGGTTCGGTTCGGCCGAGACAGTGACTCAGAGAAAATACGAAGAATAACAGATGCTGGGAGAGGAGAGGCAGAAAGGGAGGGGGCTCTGTCAGACATTACCTCTATTTAACCCTGTAGTTTTGACTGAGCTTAACCGGAAATCATCACAATGTTTTAAACACATTTTGTCTCAAATAAAATAAGCTAACTGCTCGAAATTAAGCTAACAACTGTTTTTACTTTTTATGTATTAGAAAATACATACATTAATATTGAGACAGTATAATTAAGAGAAAGTTTATCTAGTGAAAAGAAGGTAATATGTTCTATCTTTGAATAAAAACGGGGACAAATTTCTATTTTGTTCAAATTAAATAGTTTCGAATCTGTGACCGCATCACCATTTGGCTAATTTACATATTAATGCGCCAGCTCACGCCGCACTGCGTGTCCTAGCAACCAGGTAGAGGAACCGCTCGGCGGTGGAATAAGCCTTTTGTAAGAATAAAACATTAAAAATGACTCGTTCTATGTTTATAAGTTCAGCATAGAGTGGCTTTAGGTTCAACTGCGTCGTTTTCTTCCTCCTCCTTCCCCTGTTCTCCTCACGCGGCTGTCAAATTGGCTCGTGTCGGCGCGCACGTGCCAGGCCCCCCCAGCGGCGGCGTGACGTCACAGTCTTTACAAACCGAGGCTGGCAGGCAGCTGTAATGTGGGTCAGCGCAGTTTTAGCTGCTCACACACGTTTAGCGAGTCACAACCGATGGCAGCGCTAAAAATGACCAACACTTTAAAAATACAACAAGGACAACTTACATAATCTGTGGTTTTCACATTTGTCAACACGAATTATTTAGCCAAAACATTTATCAGATTTTTAAAAAAAGAGATGAGGAAATCTCTAACTTATTACATTCAGCATACTAAACAATTTTTAAAAATAATTTTAATTTAAACATTGCCTTTGTAATTGTTCTAAACATTCTTGGAATTCAATATGGACATTGAACTCCAACCAGGACTGCATAAAAAACATCATAAAAGTGTTTTATTCAGTTAAAAGATTTTAATGGTACAAATCTTCAGGTTGTTGTGGTACCAGAGTTACAGTCTGATGTGAATAGTTTTATCTTTTCTTTGTGTTTGAGTTTTATTTTGTCCATAAACACATCTCAGGAATTAATAACCAATTATCTTTGATTGCTTGAAGCTCCGCCCCCTTTGCATTTCGCGACGCTACAAACATCTGAACAACTTCATTTCTTCAACCAATAAGACCAAATCGAACATTTATTAATTGGCTTTTATTGTATTTTTTGACAGTGTGAAAATAATGCACAAAAAAGCAAATATTTTCTATAAATCGTACAGAAGAGAAGCTGCTGCTAAGTTGGTCACATTTACTATAAATAAATTCCTGGTAGGCTTCCTCACATCACTGCAGCATCTTCAGATGGATCTTTAAAAGGAGCTGCAGATTAAAAATAGTCATAGCTGCAAAAAGAAAGGCACAGACAAGAAGAAATGTGTTTTCACAAACCAGACACTGATCTGAAATTTAAGGTTTCTAGAAATAAAAAGCAACTCAACTTCAAATATTCTCATAATCTGGACAGGAAGAGTTAAGACATTTAGCAGGCCATGAGATCTTGGTACTTTGTAGTTCAGATTGCAAAAGAGAAGCTAGTTAAGTGATGCACCATATTCAGATTTTCATTCTGCATCTTACAACTGCAATTTGGTATTTAAGTCTTTGTTACCTTCAATATCAAACAGGAAACATGTAAAACTGTGGATATGAAATGAAAAGCATGTTCATCAGTTCTCTGCATAAATGAACACTTTAAACTTCCTGCTGGTTTTGTGTTTCATTTGATTTGTTTATAAACGTCTTTTCTTCCGCACTGAAGAGTGTTTGCTGATGAAATTATGATTTTCCTACAGGCAGGTCATTAGTTAGGATGGATTAAGCTAAAAATGGACAGATTGCAAATTATTTACCTTCCTAAAATGAAATGAAAAATGATAGTTTTTGTCTTTGTGATGAGCTGCTGCTAACTAAACATCCAGTTTAAACTGATTCTTTGCTGAGTTTGTTGAGTTTGTGTTTTTATACCTGAGTAAAACCGCAGCCAGTTGCCGAAATAATTACCAAGGCTACTTTAAAAGGTAATATGCAGTGAATGGATCGGCTGCATTAATGTAATGAATATGTAGTTCTCTGTTTAGCAGCCATGTCTATAACGGACCTCTTTATGAATGAACCTCTGCAGCCACTGAGTAACTGAAGCCGATTGGATTAATAATCCAGAGCTTCATCTCCCCTCTGGTTCTAATCTGTCCTCAGCATCAACCGTCCACTTCCTGGTTCTGGTTACCAGGGGCGACCGACAGCAGCGGCAGGTCACCGGTCAGAGCCGAGTCCGACCCGGGTTTCGGTCGGGTTGGTTTCCGTGGAAACGTCAGAGGCGAGAGTCGCAGGGCAGAGGTCTGAACGCCACCTCCATGTTTTCCTCCATGATGATGTCGAAGCGGCACATGGCCGGCCTGAAGGCGGCGAAACGACAGAAAAACAAAGATTTTCTCTAAAAACACAGACTGGAAGTGATTCAGAACGCAGAGATCAAGAGTTTCCATCATTTAACCTTCAATCCAACATACAGAATTCATTTTCTGCTTTTAGCAGCTCTAGAGTTTATTTTAATTAAATGTTTTCTGATCCCTAACTAAATAAAAACTAAGCTCCACTACAGATGAGGATCCTATAACAGAGTATTAGAGTCTGGATAATAATTTATTTATTATTACAAGAGTAAAGCCGTAATATTATGAAAATAGAGTCAAAATAATTCCAGAATAAGTTATTATTCTGGAATTATAATTCCAGAATCAGATTATGGTGATTCTGGACACCATAATCTGACCAGAATGAAGTCAGATTATGGTGAGACTTTTATCATATCACATTATTAGTTATATTAGTTGTATTATAGTAATACCAAAAAAAAGTCATAATAATAAGCGAATACAGTCGTGTTAATGCCAGAATAGCTGTAATAATTACAAAATAAAATTGTGATAATACATGAATAAAGTTGTAAAAACAACAGAATAAAGTTGTAAATTTGTTGTTTGACTCATGATCAATTTTAAGAATCTTGTACTTTTATCTGTTACTGGATTTGAAATGCGATTGGTTAATTGACTGGTTTCTAATTTAAATTTAAAACAAACAGGATGAAACTGAGTGTTTGAAATCAAGAGGGAAACTGAGAAAACTGAGCCAGAAGTCCTAAAATTAGTCATAAAAGGTTTAAAAGCATCAGTTTAAATGGTGAGTGTGGTGACCTCTGACCTGTCGGGTCGCTCCAGCGGAGTGAAGCGAATCCTCAGCAGCCTGATCTTGTAGCGAGGGCCTATGATGTTCCCGGTGTTGATCCTAACGGAGATCTTCTGGACGTTCTGCAGATCCTCGTCGAACTGGGCCAGCAGCCGAGTGGAGGTGTACTGCTCCAGGCGCTGCAGCTTACTGCCACAAACCAGGAGAATTTAAATCACAAACCACAAGAATTTAAATCACAAACCACAAGAATTTAAATCACAAACCAAAAATATTGAAACAAAATCTGACACTCAGTTAAAAATTAACACAGTTTATTGGCAGGGTCTGTAATTAATTAAACATATTTTAATCAAACCAACCATAGATAAAATAAGCAACACTTTCAGATTAAAACCTCTGGTTCTGGTCGGGACTAAAGGAAGTCCCGACCAGAACCAGGTGATCTGAATCAGGACTCTGCCGGTCTCAGGAGTCGGACTCACTGGTCTATCCGGGCCTCAGTGAAGTTCCTGCCGCTGTGCAGACGGATGTAGACGACCCCCCAGCGCAGGTACTGGTTCCACGTCACCATGTCCACTCTGTAGCTCAGCTCTGCCACCCAGAGGACACAGAGGATCACAGCACCTTCATCAGATTCTCCAGGATGTGTTTACTTCAGGTCCAGGGTGTGAAAACTTTAGTAGGACTCACTCTGGTAGGGCAGGGCGGCTGTGGTGCTGAAGAAGACTTTGGTCTGTCCCATCTTCACCAGAGCGTCTCTCCACTGGCTGACGTTGTAGCCTGCAGGCACAAATCATGGTCAACTTAGAACAAATTATGACATATTTTTTATCCTTAAGATGGAAACTACGTGCTTTTTTCCATTTTAACAATATGCATTAGGAAAAGTATCCTTCTGATAAAGCATAATCAGAGTTTTCTAACTTTTTGGGGTATTTTTTTCTTTTTCAGTTTATTTGGTCTAGAAAATGTTTTTGTCCATTTCCAGCAACAAAAATGAGAAAACTCTCCACAAGCAAACAAAGTTTAACCAAGTTATTTTAGTGTGGTAAAAGTCACTGGACGTTTATAACGACAAGATTACACTAAGAAATTTAAACAATTAATTAAATTATAAGAATAAACTTGTACAATTATGAGATTGCATTACAAAAACAAACTTATAAAATCCACATTTGTCTGGCCACAAAAATTATTCCAAGAGACACAAATGCCCCATGAGCCACACTTTGGACTCCCCTGGCTTAGACAGAAGGTCAGGTGTTTTTCTGTGTGTGTTTGTGTGTGTGTGTGTGTGTGTGTGCGTGCGTGCGTGCGTGCGTGCGTGCGTGCGTGTGTGTGTGTGTGTGTGCGTGCGTGCGTGTGTGTGTGTGTACCGAGCACAGGACAGGAAGCAGGCTTGAAGGCGTCACACTGCAGACACTGTCCGTCCAGGAAGCGGCTGTAGGAGGAGCAGGGGTATCCGGTGAGCCGGCAGGTCCGGTTCAGGGCGCACAGGAACAGGAACACGGAGCGCTGATGGTCGCACACAAAGTACGATTTACCTGCAGGAGGACAAGGAGGAGGAGCTGAGCAGGTGAGGAGTAATGATACCCGTGTGAGCCTGTGGGGGCGGAGCCAGAGGGTTTTACCTGAGAAGATGGTTTTGGGACATCCTGGTTGGTCGATTCCACCGTTGGCGTAGAAATCAATGTGACCGTGAGCTCCTTGCAGCCCGAATGCTGCCAGGAGGAAAAACTGATCAGATTCTGACTGTTTTTATTCAGTTAATATGCAAACTGTTTATAAATAAGGGTGCTCCATTTTATCAGTCAGCTGATTTATTGGTGCTGATTTTCTTAACTTTGAGAGATCGATGATCGGCTGGTTCTTATATACATCAGAAAAAGTCTAAAAATCAGCCTCCTTTCTGCTCTGTTTTGGCCATCAGCTCATCTCTGAATGGTTACAGTTAATAGCAACAACCCCATTGTTGCCAACTTAGTGACTTTCTTGCTAAATTTTGCAATATCTCAGAAAAAAAAATTTTATATTAGCCATTCAGGCTTTTGAAAGATCAGTTATCAGTCAGAAAACTGCAATCGGTGCAGCCATTGTTATAAACATTAGGATCGGTGCTTTAGCTCTAAGTTTAGTCAGTGAGAAACAAAATGATGGGGTTGGTTCACAGATCTGGTGTCTTTGTATCAGGACCAAATGAAACCTCAGCTCAGTTTCCACCACATGTTGCGGTCAGTATGTGATCCTCACAGTTCATGTCGGTGTGCAGAACATCAACAAACATGGCGTCTGACGGGTCCAGCCGCTCCTCTGGGGTGGCCCTGGTGAACATCGGCCCGGCCGGGTCCAAACCTGCAGAACACACGCTATTGTCGGTCAGTCTGCAGAACAGATTCAGTCAATGAGACAAGGAAGACCTCTGAGGTTATCAAACGACATTTTATTTTGTGGCGTCCGAGTAAAGAGGTGGGCGAATGAAAATACATACCAAACTTTTCAGCCTGTAATTTAAAAAGTTCATTTTGAATAACTTTGTGTTAGATTGTTAGATAAAAGTAACACAAATTAATATGAAAAGTGTGTGAAAACTTTTTCTAAGTTTTGTTTATTATTGTAAATACTACAGAAAAGAGTAAATATATATGCAAATGCTGAGTATTTGTGACTGCAGATCATTTTCATGGACAGATTGAATCGTCGTTGATGCTAACAGTTTTACCTGTGATGCGGCCCATCGCTCCCTTCAGGTTCGCTCCAACAAATCCGGCCAGGTGAGCTCCCAGGCTGACGCCGATGAGATGGATGGAGCTCAGAGAGGCGCCTTCTTCCTGCAGCGACACGATCAAGCAACATCAGGAACTGACGGCGAGAGAGCTAATCAGATAAAATCAGTTTTCTTTCACTTTCATTCTCAACCCGTGGAGGGAGCATTAGCTGCAGCTTCTATAGAGAAATTTGATTCAATGTGGAGTCAGGAGGAAGAGTGGAGTGATGGTGATGCGTTCACTGACTCAACTGCTTCTGAATTTCATAATCATAATTTTCAGATATTGATTACAACGTCTGGCTTCTTCTGGTGCAGATTTATTAAGCTTTCTCACATAAATGACGTAAAAGTCGGATAAAATGCAACATGATGCTTCAGACTGCAGACAAAACGATGTGATTTAGTTTCACATATGGAAGAAAAACAGATACGATTTCTTTGTGTGGTGAAAATATCTACATCAGTTTATTCAGACGACCATGAACAGGTCCGATTTGGGTCGCTTTCACCTGCTGTGTGGATGCAGCTAATTTCACGCCTTCTGTTTGCAAATTTTTCTGTTTTTTATGTATTTAAGAAAATCAGAGTTTAAAACAACAGAAACATTTTTTGGATCTTCTTGTCAGAATCCGGTCCAGAACCAGAACCTCTCGTTCTGATTTAATCGGGCTGCGTTAAAGCAGCAGCAGAATGTGACCCAAGGCAGATTTTTTGCCGTCTCACCTGCATGGTTCTGATGAAGCCCGTCAGGTTGAGCGCCGCCTCCCTGGTGTAGGTCACAGCGGTGAAGTAGTTGAGGTTGGCCGCTCCTCGGTTCCAGTCCACCACGATCACGTTCATGTCCTCCTGCTCGGCCAGCAGGCGCACGATGTGGTTGATCCAGATGGGCGGCGCCCCGGTGGGCCGGTAGCCGTGGATGACGAAGGCGGTGGGGCGGCGCAGGTCCAGGAGCGGCTGGGAGGACAGGTGGTGGTGGGCGACCTCGCGGCCGCAGTCCGGGTTGGAGCGCGTGTAGAGCAGCAGGCGGACGTACAGGCTGGTTCCCATGAAGCAGTGGGACAGGTCCAGGTCGGTGAAGTTATCGCAGGGATCCTCGGTGCCGGACTCACCTGGACGGATGTCATGGAGGTCAGAGGTCAGATGAGATTTAGAGCAACATGGGAGTCTGCTCTAAAGAGAAGATGAAGAATATTCCACTACCTGTTACTCTGTTTGGAAAATATTTTTCACTCTTTTGTATTTATATGTATTTAGTTTAATAATTGACTAATTTATTGATTATTCTGATAATTAATAAAAAAGAAACTGATACATTCTGCAGATATTTCATGTAACCACTCAAATCTTTTTTCACAGTTTTTCAATTTTTTTAAAGATAAGTTTAAAAATAAAAAATCCAACATAAATACAGATCTAAACTGTGAAAATTTAAAATAAATTTCATTAAACATATGGAAATACATCCAGAAGTATGTTGAGTAATAATATAAACATATAAAACAATTGATCCTAAATTGATTGTTTCTCCTATTGAACCTTGGATCCAGTTAAAAATGCACAGATAAGAGATCAGATGGTGATTTAAAGTTTTACAGATAAGTGTGGATGGAGGGATCAAGGCTTTGCTGTCTCAGTAAGGGATCAATTTAATAATCAGGACAAATATTCAGCCTGGAGCCTCCGAATCTAATCTCACTTCATCATCCTAGAAGAGTTAAATCAGGAGATTTCTCTTTTTATGCCTCAGACGGCGTTACAACTAAATATGTACTAATGTGATAAACAAATATTAAAGCCTTCCTGTAAATGAGGAATAATTTTCAGGCTAATCGGATCAGGGAGTTATCCGTTTAGTGATCGGGGAAACCTGGGAGTCCCAGCGGATCGCAGCGCTGATCTGATCCAATCACCACAAAATGTTCTTCCTGTAATGCCTGAGACCATCAACATGGCGGCAAACATTACACAGCATCTGCTGGCTTAATTTTTAATTAAACAAGACAGATTAAAAAAAAAGATACAATATTAGGAAATTTCAGCATCCTGTCAGGATGTCAAATATAAACGCAGCTGCATTGGAAACAGGTGACCAACTAAAAGGGTTAAAACAACTGGAGAAGTCTCCGTCTGCTTCATGTTTAGTTAAACAATAAACTGAAATGTGAAAGTTGGAAAAAGTGTTTGAATCCTGTACAATGTATTTGTAGTTGCGTGTATGGCTAAACCAAGTAACTGAGCACTTGGCTGGCGGTGGTTGATTGACTTTCAGGTGTAACATGATTAAACTGATTATTGTGTAAGTGTTTTGGGTCATGTTCGGGTTATGTTCCCTAATCTGAGCAGGAGAATCGGATCCACACTGAACGTCTTGCTGTCCTCAGATGTTCCCTGCCTCAGTCTTTAGCAGCTGCACCATCTCTTCTGGGTTTACCGAGTTTTTTGTTGCTCTAAATGAGACGACCATTTCCCAAACCCCTGAGCCTCATCTGGCGTTTCCTGCTCTACAAGCAGCACAGATAAGTGAGACGGTGGCCTCAATAGGATCAAGCGGCTATAAAAAAACGCCTCATCCCGTCACCACCTGCGTCTTCATGGAGCCAGCCGCTGATTACAGCTGCCTCTTGAATAATGAGGCTGGGGTCAGAGGTCAGGCAGGGGTCCAGACACAAACAAACCGTCTGATTCCTGACAGATGGAGACGCCTGTAAATAATCTGTTCCTGCTGAGCCTTCCTTCTTCATGCTCCACTTTTATCCATCTCGAGGTTCAGCAGTTTGTGGTTTTCCTGCTGGATCAAAGTGATCAGCCTGAACGACGGAAGCTGCGGTGAGCAGGACATCTGTCAGGGACATGTTGGAGTTTCCTACCTTTGCAGAGGATGAGGAGTCCCAGCAGAGCCAGCAGGCTGTGGAGCGACATCTTTCCTTCAGCTACAGAAACGATCTGAACCCAGACTGACGGAGCGGCTGGACGGACCAGGAGGGAGGGAAGGGGGCGGAGCATCACCAGGAACGCTTTCTAGAAGACGAGTGATTTATCCAGACCAGCTGGAGAAGAACAAGTGGGAACTTTCTACACATGAGGGAAAAGTCAGTTTAATCACTGCGGAGTGAAAAATTCAGTCAATATAATCAGGTCTAATAAATCGATAAATTGTCCCAGAAGTTATAAACGATAAAACTGATGAAAATGGTAATGACATAATAATGCAAAGAGCAATAAACTAAGAAATGCTTGAAAACAGATTCTAGTTTCTGACAGGAGGACATGAACTAATTACTTCACTTGTTTGACATTTTGTCCTATTAATGGACGATTACTTTAAAAGTAATTTAGCTGAATGCACAAACAAACACTGAAACAGATCTTTATTAAAATGTGCAGTAACTAAATGTAATCAAAGGTTTGAGAAGCTTTATATGACGCTGGATCATTAATATTTTAGATAATTGTTGTGTTTTTAATTTAACATCAGCTGCCAGGTTTGTGCAGAAACGTTGTTAGAGATAACCAATAACAAATTTAAGAGATTTTTATAGCAACCTATATTTAGGTTTATTGGAGCAAACCGAATTAATAAGGGAAGCAGATAAACAGCCTGATTTGGGTTGTCATAAAGGCTGTGATGGTTATTAATAGCTGCAGTGATGCGCCGCACCCAGCCGCCCCTCCCTGTGCATCCAGCATAAACACATGTAATTTAGCATGTGCAGAGAGCCGAGGCTGCAGTGATGCAACAGCGATCGCTGCAACCGTGCAATCAGAGCTGGACCCAAATGGAAGCGAGCCTGAGCGACAGCAGAGAGGTTTCTGTCACCAACTTCACATTCAGTCTCATTTCATCATCATTTTTATTGAATATGTTCCAAAAATGACTTCTTCATCTATTTACTGGTGCCATGAATTATTGAGGCAATTTAAGACTTAATTTTATGCTGGGGGTTTGATAATAATCCCGTCTTTAGAGAATTATATTTATCTACTTTTGTTCATCTCAGTTTGAAAAGAAAGGAACTAAATCTGTCTGTAAAACTGGACTAAAATACCACAAAACATCATTTTAATATTTTGACCAGATGAAAGTATTATTATACATTACACTGCAAAACACAAAATATCACCAAGAAATTTTAGCCTAATTTCAAGTGAAACATCTTAGTGTGCTTGAAACTCAACTATGTCACAAGTGACTTTTATTAAGGAGTTACTGACTAAAAACAAGCCTCCATGTCTGATGAAATGTTACCTGTAAGTTACTTATTTCAAGCGTAATAAGATATTAGAAAGTAAACTAAAGTTACTGGGTAAGATTTTGTATTTTGCAGTGAAATGATTGTTGCTGGTTCTAGAGAAATTTCTGCATCCTGACGTCAGCGCTTCTGGCTGTCCAGGTTAAAGGTCACTGTTAGGCCACAGTGTTCAGATCACCTAAAGAGCTTACCTTTCTAAGCCACACTCCCTCACCTGTCACCTGACCTCCCTGCTTTCAGGTCAAAGTAGATTTCCTGATGAGATCATAGATCAGACTCTGAACTCCCTCAGCTTGTGTTTGGTCTCTGCTTTCCTGATTGAAACATCCAGATTTAGGAGACCGGCTCCAACCGGACAGGTGACAAACCTGTGGAGGTGAGGTGGTTTGGTCAGCTGGTCAGGATGCTGCCAGATGGCTGCTGGTGGAGGTTACCTGGGGTCGCCACTCTGGGAGGAGATCCAGACAATTTATCCTGTCAAACATTTAGGATCCCAGAGGAGCAGATGGAGAAAGATGCTGGAAAACCGAAGAACTTCTCTGGGTTCAGTTCTTCACACGCTTCCAGTTCCTGATTCTAATGAGGAACGGGAAAATAAACGAAGGACAAGATGGAGAGACAGACGGACAGACGGATAACTGATTCTCCTAATGTTTTGTTGTGAACGTTCTTCTCATTCTGTTGTCATGGTGACAATCTCTTTAATCGAAATGAGTTTAATTAAATCAGTTAAACTCCTTTAACTGATTTAATTAAAGGATTTATTGGTGAAGTTTCCCAGAATAAAACTTGCTGGACGTTTGAGTCTAAACTAAAACTGCTGAGATTATTTATAACCTTTAATGGTTTGTAAAAATCAAAGTTTTTACTCTTTCAACTAAAAAATTTAAAGTTTCCACTGGAAAAAAAAACACAGGTGAAGTAAAACACTTTTTACCTTTTAGAATAAAGGAACACAGAAGCATCCATGGAATAATTTGCAAACACTTTGGTTTTATTAAATATGGAAATGTGATAATTTAACAAACAGATTGACGGACTCAGAGCTCAGATTTGTTTGGTTCTGCTTGCAGCAACTCTTCTCTTTCTGGGTGGGATAACTCGGCGGTACCTGCTGCGTCACGGTTTGATGAGTTTGAGTTTTTAACCGGAGGATCTCTGTGGGGAGGATCCAGACCACGACGGAGGCGCTGCTGTCCACAGACGCCAGCGTCTGCAGGTATCTGAGGCGCAGAACTTCAGGCGACAGGTGGGACGCCGCCTCCCTTAAAGTACGAGACGCCTTCACTTCCCTTCAGCCACCAGCATCTGAAACACAGAGGCACTTCAAAACCAGCACAAACATGACAAATCATCCAACTTTTAGCACACAACAACAACTCCACACATATCAGACATTTGTGTTAAAATGTGAATGAGTTCATTTTTTAGTATAAAATTTTCATTGTTCCCTTTAGTTACTGACATTAATGAGGAATAAAAACATTTCCTTCCACTCAGAAAAACAAAAACAACAGAAACTGAAAGATTTTTGTTGTTTCTACATCAGAAACTGATGTAGAGATAACAGGAGTCTGTTTCTTGTTACTTTTTTGTTTTAGTTTATTAAATTTGTTTTTTGATGAACAAATTTGTGGGCCATCCATGAGCCTTGAAATGATTTTGTTTGCCCATGACCACGAATCATGAACGGCAAAAATCTGGCAAACAACAAAACAAATAATGACCCAAAAAATGGTCATTATTTTTCTGTTTTTCTTTGAATTGGGCAGCAGGTCAAAGCCACAGGTTCTGTGTGGCGCTGCTCATGTCCTTTCTCCTCCTTGCTCTGCGCTACGCTGAAGCTAGCAGAGGCTAGTTAGCATAACCGTTGCTATGCTAATGATAGATAAACAGTTTTCCTGTAACTTTAAGCTGGCATATCAATCTGATTGGTTGTTTTTTGCATTTCTTCAGTCGTTCAGGGAGGTGGGAGACTAATTTTTTCACAGATTTCAAAATGAACTGTCATGACATGGTGACAGTTTGAACAAATTTCATGCTGCAGCTTTCAGGTAACAGTGAATATCGTGGTGAACAGGGCAGGTGGTGTCTGGTGGCCGTGTTACTGCAGCAGTACCATCGCCCGGGCCGTCCTCACAGCCTCGGCCTCTGAGCCCAGGGAGCGCCGCAGAAGCTTGGGAAGCTTCAGATTTCTGAGCTCCACTCGCTGGACCTGAACGCCCCACGGCCTGGAGCCGGGCTGCAGCACCTCCTGCAGGACGTGAAGCAGTAAAATCATTTGTAACCCTGATATAGAGATAAACCGTGGCAGCTTGCCTGTGTCTGACCTCCATTCTCATGGCTATGGTAGGCCGCTGCGTCAGCAGGTCTGTCAGCTTGAGCGCCCAGCACCGCCCTGAGGGTCGCCTGGACCAGCCAGTATGTGGCATCATAGCCATTCTGCACCTGGGTGAACCAGAGGGTGGGATCCACCACGCGGTAAAACACCACGGCGTCCACCAGTAACGGGACGCTGTCTGCTGTTAGAACCTGCAGGAAGGAGGAAACGTCTGAAATCACCTTCAGGTTTGACCACAGACTGTCACAAGCAGTGAAGAACAAGAAAAACAAGAAATGGAAAAGTAAATCTCCACCAAAATGTTGAGATTCATTTAACATATTTCCAAATTTGCTGATGTGAAAATTTTAAACAATATTTAGATTATAAATATATTTTCTGACATTATAAAGTCAGACATTTGCAAGAAAAAGTGGCACAAGTCCTCAGAATGAGATGGTAAATGATGGAGACGCCTATCTGGATCTTTTCCACAATGGAAATGGTACATCTGGAATCATTTCCTGGATCCAAAATGTTCCTGGACCAGAACATTTTCAAGGTCCAGACTCATCATGAAGCCTCCGGCAGGACACAGAAATATTTTTTAATATAAAATGCCACATAATGTCAGAGAATATGCTAGTTAATACTATAAATTTTTGTTTTTAATTGTGGAAAACTGTACATTTCCTGGCAAATGTATGAAAATGTAAACTTAAATTCCACATATTTTTATGAAAATGTTTTGGCAGAAATGCACTCCTCCCTGACCAATAATTCATTCTTCTTTTATTGAAAAACAAACATATATATCCTACATATACAGCCTCCAAATATGTAGGAGGTTTAATTCATATAAGACATGTTGCAGTTTTTCTAAAATTTTCAGTGCAAATATAGTTTGTATTTTGTTGTATGCTAAACAAAAATGTAGCAGAAATACTGAGGAAATGATGAAAAGATTAAATAAAAAGCTTTATCTGCATTTATAATCTATTTGACAAAAACATAAACACATTTTACATGTAACCGTAAATAAATGCAGTAGTAAACTGTGTAATTAGCAGAGACCTGTTGTGGGTAGATGTAAATGGAGAGAATTCGAAGGTCAACCTTCTGAATGACATCCAACCAGGGAATGAACCAGACTAAACCTGCAGGAACAAACCAACAACACTCACAATATTACAGCAGGAGTCAGAATAAAAATATATTTTACAGCCTCAGAGAAGAGCTTTCCTGTTCAGTGTCTTAAAATGTCAGAATCATACGAGTGATAAATGCATTCATTGGTATAATAATTAAAAACAAAACGACTGCAGTCTGAGTTTAACAGAAAAAGATACCAGGTCCTTTAGCTGATCCTTTAACAACCCGGCCCAGTCTAAAGATGACAGCTCTCTCATACTCCTGGACAACCTGCAGCACAGACACACACATCACATTGCATCAGTTAAAACACTGATTCAGAAAAGATATGAAAACACTTTGAAAATGGGCTCAAATTATGACAAGTGTGGAGATTTATCTAAGAATGAGTAAAAAATAAAATAAATTTGGCATCTGATCTGAATTTGATCAGTTGTACTCTACTGACGCTTAAAAATGATTCAAAACAAAAGTCTTGTTGGCTGCATGATGGTGCAGTTGGTAGTAACTGTACTATGCAGCAAGATTTTGAAATAAATCAGATTAAAAACCTTAAAAACATCCAGTTATCGCCCTTTATAAATTGAATAAAATTCACGCTAATCTCTTGATTTAAGAGAATATGTCTTTACTGTAAAATAATCCAGTCTAGGCATCATATATTGTAGTGGAAAATCAAAAACAAAGTCTAAAAACTTTTCCCATAATTTTAAAATAATGTGAAGGTTAAAACAAAACTAGATCTATTTTATGAGACTCACCACAGAATAATTCTGTTCATGCTTGGGTCTGTCCAAACAGTGAGATTTTTCTGCTTAATTATATAAGTTATGTTTAAATAAATTGTTGCAAATGATCCAGTTGATGTTTGACCATTTAAGTGTTTAATATTGTAACTGAAGCGAACAGAAGTTGGCCCAGCCAGTGGGAAGCCATCTTTACTCCGTTAGCTTTACCTGAACGCAGCTCCACGCTGAGAAGGGGAAGGTGAGGAGGATGAGCAGCACCGACAGGACCGTTAACGCCGCCTCCAGGATGCCGACAGCCCCGCCCTGTCTCACTTCTCCACCTGCACACACCAACAGAGGCAACAGAGGCAGTAGAACCGAGCTTCGCCTTCAGTTAATCACGGTAAAATCCCGCTAATGGCTAAATGTAGCGACCTGTTCCTCTTTCAACTCCAACCTTGTTAGAAACGCCGATCATCATCCCTCAGACTACTGGCAAATATGTCTGTTTCAACACAGAGTTAACCATGATTAAAAACCAGTTATGTTACATTACACTTAAATTAAATCGTTTTTCAGTAAAGTTTTCGCAACCGTTATGAGTTTGCGACGTTTGCCCCGCACGCGACACGGGATGGAGACCGCGAGCTGTCGCTTAGCAACCAGAGGAGGCGCCGCGGGCGCCCTCTTCAGGTCACAAGAAGAAGTTAAGGCAATTACTGTTTACTTTATTCTACTGTAAACCTTTAGTGCGTTAAACGTTTAGATATTTTTTGTTCTTATTTAGGGGTTAGTTTCTCAGTAAATGACACGCCAACTTCATAAAACATTTTATTATACCTTACAATGAAATCAGGGGAAATACAACAAAAAATAAAAAGCAAACCTGCAAAGTTCAGCAAAACTCAATTGTTCCAAATTACTGAAGGAAATGCAAAGGAAACTATTTTTTTTCAGTTTCATGTAAAAACATAAGACTTTCTAAAATGACAAACATACATGAAACATGTTTTTTTTGTGTGGAATATGTGTAAATTTACATTCTGTATTTTATAACCAAACTATTTCACACACAAAGTGGATTCCAGTTTAATTGGAATCAAAAGTGTCAACATGGTCTAAAACTGACTTAACTCTTCACTCTGACTGGAGACAACACGGTTTTCCTCCAAGGGGTCACCAACCAGAAGAGGGCGCCCCACTCTTTACTTGTGCATTTTATTGGCCTGCTGCATCTTGTTATTTGGATCAATAATTAGATGATTAGATTAATTTTAACTTGCTGTTATAGGTCTGAATGTGAATAAATGGGAGCTTTTGACTGTGACTGAAACTATCAAGCCTGACTGCTATTATCTTAAATTATCTTCGCATATGTTATAAAAGCATATGCTAGGCTAAGAAAATAAAAAGTTTTCCTTTTTATTCCTTTTAAAGTTAAACGGTTAAAAAGCTGTTGAACTTTCATTGCTTTGGGCCGGCTGTACCCATAGGGCATGTAGTTTAGAACAGCAAGGTGAATAGTTTTCGAGAAAACCCCCCAGAAATGAACCAAACTGCAAAAATTGACCTGAATTGAATTAAACTTACCTAAATCTTGAATTGAACTGAATCTAAATGACCTGAACTGAACTGATATGAATCATTCTTTCACAGATGACACAACACAATGCGTGTGAAGTTGCTTCTTTTTATAAAACTTAGTTGTTCATTTTCATACAATAATTGTTTCTGACAGCTTCTGATTGGTTCAGGACAGTTCTGCCTGTAAGCTTCGCTGTTATCTGCACATCTTTTAGTTTCCATTTAAGTGTTCATTGTGACATCTAACTTCCTGTGAAACTGTGAGAAAACGCTTTGGTTTCCTGATGCCCTCTCAGTGAGAGTTCTGCTCTGCACCTCCAGGCATCGAGAGCTGACCGGGCCGGCTCTGTTCTGGAGCTGTTCTGGCTTTAACCGGGTCGTGGTTCTGACCGTTTTCAGGGCTGTTTGTGAAAGCAGAAGCTCCTGCGCTGTGCAGGTGGATGTCGGCCTGTCGGCCCGGGGCCCCCGTTCGCCATGGCAGCGGCTCTGCCGGATTGTTACCACGGCCCGATGACCAAGAGGGAGTGTGAGGAGGTTCTGGGGAGGAAGAACAAGGACGGAGCGTACCTGATCCGAGAGAGCGAGTCCATCCAGGGAGCGCTGTGTCTCTGCGTCTAGTGAGTAAAACTCAGCAACACATCAGCTCTGATTAATCAGAATCAGGTCAACAAATCAGATGCTTTGATCAGCTGCTGATCAAAGCATCTGATCTTTGTTTCAGATTCAACAAAGCAGATCTGAAACACACTGCAAAAAACAAACAAACATTTTATTGAGCGTTTTGGTTTAGTTTATGATGCAATTATCTTTCTTCACTTAATTAACCTTAATTGAAAGGTCAATAGGTAACCTTTCAATTCCTTAATATTGATTAAACAAGTACTTGTTTGACTTACAACCTGGGAAAAATGTTTTTCTGCCAGTGGAACTAGAACTTTTTCAGGAATGGTGAGAAATTATTCACTTCCAACTAGGTCCTTCTTCTTGCTGAATAGTTACTTCTAAGTTTATTTTGTCTTATTTAAGTGTGCTGAGTATTTTCACCAGAGACGAGGCAACAAAAACTTATAAGTTTTGTGTTTTTACAGTGCAGACGGAGCGTCCCCTCACCATCCTCTGTACTGCAGCCGGTTCTGTTCAAACGCAAACTAATGTGTTTATTTCCACTAAAGTTGTGATGTAGAGGTTAACCAGCCTGTACAGCGTCTGTGATGAATTATTATTCATGATAATATTTAACGTATCGGTCTTTAGTATGAAAACTGTGATGTGTAGCTTAGACTGAAACAGAAACCAAGTGTTTCCGTCTGCTTTCTAGTGCAGATATCTGAGTGCACTGGGATAAGACAAACTAATACATGGAAGCTTGTTTTATGCCAATAATTTCTTAATATTGATGAAAACAGTCCTAGTTCCTCTAGCAGGTTATTTCATTTTCCCTCAATAATAAGTGAAATAATCTGCCAGTGGAATTACTTCTTATTTACTTAAAACAGGCTTTTATATTTTGCTGAAAAGTTACTTGTAAGTTAGTTTTGTCTTATTTCAAGCATTCTAACTTATTTACACTAGAAACAACAAAAATACTTGATAGGATTTTGTGTTTTTGCAGCTGATAAATCAGTAAAAAATGTAAATATTTGCGCTGTTTTTGGCTCTGAAAATAATCACGATTGTGAAAAACGATTGTCTTCTGATGGATTAAGAGTTAGCTGCAAAACTTTTACATTAAATTTTTGCAAGAAATCGGATCTTGTTTTATGCCAATAATTCCTTAATGTTGATGAAAATGTTCTAGTTCCACTGGTAGATTATTTCACCGATAAAAAGAAATGTTTCTGTGTTTTGAGTTAAATAATTTCCGGCTCCGAACCGTTTGAGACGGTTTTCGGCAAAATGAAGCCAAAAATGAAGCAAATTGTACAAAAATGTCAAAATTTGCACAGAAATATAAAGATGGAACCCTAAATAACTTGTTTACACGGTTTAAAGAAGTTTCTTTGAGTGAATTTTACTGTAATGTTTGAACAGACGACGTTAAATTACTCTTTGCGCAAGGTCAAGCTTGTGACCTTTCCAGCAGGTTTTCCCATTTCTCTGTAAAATAAAGGCCACTGGTGACAAAGAACCTTAAAAAAGAGACGTATGAGACTTCTCTTCCTTTGGCCTTTGAAGTTAGGGACTTGCAACTGCAGAAATGCAAAAAGCTTTTCTGCTGAATGTTGCAGTCAGTCTCAGCTGGTAAAGAAATAAAAGCCTGGATGAAGAGAAGAAGGAAATGCACGACCAACATAGAGAAATGAATCTCATTTGGTGTCTAAAACCCCAGGAATCAATCTGCTGCAGGACATTTAGTGTTTTTAATGCTCGGATTGAGTGACCTCACAGTAACTCAGGTTATTGCAGCTGCTTGCAGGTTTTGAATGTTTCATGTGGTACATGCAGATTAATTTGTGCTGCTGAAGTGGAAAGAAAAATAGAAATAATATCCGTATGAAGTAAAAGGAACAAAAATTAGAGAAGGAAGTTTGTGAATGTTACGCATTAATGAGCTGCAACAAACCTGCTGGTTTTTCCTGGAAAGAAACTCAACAAATTTTACTGATGAACTGAAGTTGATAACTGGACCAACTGAAACATCTGAACTGAAATCACACAGATCCTCCAGATGATGAGTTCACATAAGAAACGAATTATTTCTCTTGGTTTTCAGCTTCTGAAGGTGCCCAGAGCTGCAGTTAATTAGGGCATCTTGAAGCGATCTGTTGACAGGAACCGGTTGTGGCAGTTCAATGGCCATAACCACACAGTGGAGCTCTGAGGGTTTTCTGACACATTTTATGGTGAAATCAGACAAAACATGAGGATTAAATGGATTTGCATTTTCATAACTATCAAAAGGCAAGAAACAGCCGTGACTAATTAAATGATTAATATGTTTCAGTTATTTTTGTGTTTAATAATCACAAACAGAATATAATTTAAGAAAAGTGTTAATCTGGTGTAGGTATTTAATCCGCCTTAGTCAAATTAACAGAAAGTCAAGTTTTATGGCCACAAACGCAAAAAGATGCAGGAGACGAGGCGAGTCTTTCAAACATTTAAACCACATTTACTGCCACTAAGTTTACAAAAGTAAAACTTAGCTTGTGAATTAAATATTTAGCTTACAAACTAACTAATTATTTAGTTTGTAAAGTTAAGAGTTAGCTTGCTGATTGAATGTTTAGTTTGTAGCTAAATATTTGGCTTCTAACTAAATAATCAATCGATAAACTAGATATTTAGTTTGCTTACTAAATATTTACAATGGAACTGAATCTTTTACTTACTAACTAATAGTTTAGAGCTAAATATTTAGTTTGCAAACTGAATATGTTGCTGTCTAAATATTTTTGCTTGAAACTGTGACATTTATTATTGCTGTTAGTTTTTCTGCTGTGTAACTTTACAAACGTCTCCCCACAGACTTTGATCCAATCAAATTCAAATTATTTTTAGAAACCATGCTTGCTTACTGTAAGGCCACTAAATCCCCAGATTAAATAAAAACAGAAGTTAAAATCCCCAAATAAATCTGACGTTCACATGAATTAAGTGTGGGTGTTCAGGAACTCTATTCATGTCTGAGGTACATGTTGAGCCTAAATGGGAGAATCAAATAAAATGATGTAATCACTGGGCCGAAAACTGAGCCCTGAGGGACACCACAGAGCTCCACCAACCCTGTTGGTGGAGCTCTGTCAGCTGCCTGACCATCGAACCAGCAGCCAAATAATGATTAACATGATCCACCGACAGCAGGAACACAGCAGATAAGAAACCTGAGAGTTTTTATTCCAGGTGTGATTCTTCTGATTAAGAGCCATATTTATCTCTGGACAAGCTAGATCTATAAAAACGTGCCGCTGGAACCAAATCACCTGATGACCTGCATTAATTAGTCTCAATAAAATATAATCGTTATGTTTATTTCATTTATTTCATTTTCAATTCAGTTCAATTCAATACAAATCAAGATGAAATGCTGTCTTGACTTAAATAATCCTAGTATCTCTAAATAAGAGATTCTGTGATGCTCCAGTAGCAGTCAGTCTTGCAGTGTTTCTGAATAGGCTTCTGACTGAAGGCCATTGCTGTATGACTGTTATGACATTCTAACAGTGCAATATCAGCCCTGCAGAGATAATATCCCACAGCAACATGTTCAGCTGCTCGCTAACTCTGCTGATCCGCCTCCTTTGCTTTTGCTCCTCCTCTTTAAATCTCTCTCTGGACTTTTGGTTGGAAAGCAGAGAGACGTCACTATGATCGATGGAATAGACGGTGTGAACTTCCTCCCCCATGTCCTCACTTTCAACTCTTCTGGGATTTGGGGTCAAAGGTCAGGTACTATTTGAGCATTCATGATGCTAACAACCTACAACCAGCTGTAAAAACAACACGTTGTAACCATGGCTACGCATCATAGGAACTGTCCTAAATAAGAAAATGAGAGGGAAAATCTATTCAGCTGCCCAGCATTCAAACCCATAATCCTCCAAACAAACAAACAAACAAAAAATGATAAACAAAACCAATCAGAGCCAACAGAGCTGCTCCAACCTGCAGCGCCTTCCTAAAATCACTGAAACTGAAATGCTCTCAGAAGTACATACTGACTGTGATTAGATTAGTTTTAGTGCAAATATCTCAGTAAACTGGAAATAAGATAAAGCTAACTATTCACATGTAGCTTGTTTTATGTAAATAATTTCTTAATATTGATGAGAACTTACTGGTTCCACTGGTAGATTATTTTACTGAATACAGGAGAAATAATCTGCCAGTGGAACTAGTCATTTTTTAACCAAGATCAAGGAATTATTGACTTAAAACAAGCTCCGATATCTTGCCGCAACGTGACTTTAAGTCAGTTTTATTTTACTTCAAATGTACTAAGATATTTATACTAGAAACTAGACCAAAATACTCAGTAAGATGTTGTGTTTTTGTAGTGTTTATCTTCTCGTTTTCAGCACACAGCTGAATGTTAAATAAATGTCATTTGGGCTCTTGAATTTGGTTGCTCATTGAATGGAAACTGAGTGGAACCAGTCAGACTGTCTGTGTTTTGTGAGTGAAGTTGCTTTGCATGGCTGGCTGCCGTCGGGGAAGCGGTTGGTTTCTTTGTTCCTTTTATTTTTAGAAACCCCAGCTCTTCGTCGTCTTGCTCCACACTTTGATGGGGTCAGGTTGAGGTTTAGTTGTGGTCGAGTTTTGCATTCATCTTGTTCCAAAACGTGCTCGCAAGTGTGTTTTCACGCAAAGTAAAACGCACCTAATGCACCAAAACTCATGCAGACGCCTTGGCCAGATGGTTAAATCGGAACAATTCACTGTTCAGCTCCTCTACTGCCGGAGGGGTCAAAGGTTGCTCAGTCAATCGACTCTGTCTCTACTGTGCATCACTGCTGGTTCTCTGGTTAAAGGTCAGGAAAGGGGCAGCTAACATCTCTGCACACCCCACACATGCTGGACTTAAACTGTTTACAATTTTACCTTCAGGTCATTGCTAGCTTATTTTATCTCCCTTTTTATATATTTATGTTTACAATGTCATTCTTGTTTGTGTGCAGAAACTCAAGTGAAGTTGGATCTAGGGATGGTGGATATAAGTGCAACATTTTATAACAATAATTTGTCACGAAAAAAGGGGATGAGAAGAAAAATGAATTCCTTCTTCTTGGTCTCTGTATAGCATTCAATCAAATTTAGCGACCTTTAGTCATACCCCTTTATTGAACCAGCAGTGGATTAAAAATAATCAAATAATCCCGACAGATAGTTTAAACATGATTAATTGGAAATAGATTTATCACGATGAATAATAAACGATATAATAAAAGCCCATACAGAGACACTAGAGAGGTGAGTAATGTTGTTTCAGACATGGTGGATAATTTTAGTCTTCACAGTTTTAAAAGCAGAATCATTGCTGATAAAACGGTAATGTTGTTTCATCTCTAAACATGAAAAGTGGTTTTCTGCAATACTTCCTCTAAACTACTTCCTCACTAACAGATGTCTTGTTTTCTCTTTGCAGCAAACAGAAGGTGGTTTATACCTACAGAATCCTCCAGGCGCACAACGGAAACTACACCCTGCTGGTAAAAAACAAAAACGCTTTTACGTTTTCAACATGTGGCGTCTCTGATTAGCTGCTGCCTCCGTCTCTATTCCTGTGCCACATTACATGCTTATTTATTCCTGATTATTAACTGATCAATTTAGTTACTTTAGACTCAGTTCGATTGGGGAACAAAACTGCAACATTTGTTGCATTTTCAGCTAAACTCATTGAAAAGCCTGTTCCCCTCCTCACCTGTGGGGGCGCTGCACCAAGTGCCACCTCAGGAAACGACACAAAAACCTCTGAAGAAAGCAGTGAGCGCAAAGTCCTTCTTTAGAAAACAATTGAAAAAATTGACAGATTTTAGTGATTGTAGGGTTTCCTTTTTTAAGATCTGTTGAAATGAGATTTTCTGAGCAGAATTCAGAGTCGTGTTTAATAAGTTTAGACTTGATAATGTCAGTGACAATAAAACTGAACTGTGTGCTTGTTCAACTAGGTGAGGACAGTTTGTGAAATAATCATTTGGTTTAGGTTATTAAGTCATAGAGGTGTACTTTATGTCATATTTTGGTAGTGATCCGATACTAAGTAAATACCAGGCAAGTATCACCAATACCGATACCGATATGTATTATTTTAGTATATCATCAACATCTTTGTGTTTTGTTTTTTCCCCTTTTAATTGTTAAATATCTGAACAGAATTTAGATAAAGTTTATGTGTACTTCAGTTACCTATTTACACAATAAACAGAACCAATAGAAAAACAAAGCAAATGTTTGTGCATTGTTTCCAAGTAAAGTTCAATATTATTGATATTATCTTCGTTTTGGGTTGATCTGCTCACCCCTACTAAGTTAGAGCAACTCACAATTCAAGAGTAATGATCTATCAGATCTTGAACCAATATTTAGACACTTTGTTTGAAATAAGCTTCATAAACTTTAAATTATTTCACCATTTTCTGGTTGACTTTATTTGCTTTTTCATCATTTTCAAGTTCAACCACCTTCAGTTGTTTTGCTGTTTGTCATTGTTTCAGCACACAACTACATTTTCCACCGCAACAAAATGCAAAAACCTGTTTTTGCACCGAATGATGTTTGTTCTCACACTGATTATTATCAGTTAATAAAATAATGCGTTTGGTTGACGGCAACTCACCCACAGCTTTTCCATGAACTCATTCTGGTTTAATGAATGTGTGAAAAACAGTTTCTTCTGCAAATGTCTGAAAACCAGACTAACAATACTTGGTGAGAATTTGAGTTTTTACAGAAATTTCAGCTTCTAGCACAGAATTATTTAAAAGGGTCTTAATTTCTGGTAGATTTGTCATCAAATAGATGAATAAAGTAGATTGGAGATATTAGGTTTCATCAAAGGAAGAAATTCACCCCCATGAAGGAAACTCTCCCCCACAGCAGAGGAAACATTTCAGGTTTTTTTCCCTCCACACACCGAATGATGTCAGAGCGAATAAAAACACGACGATGCCCACGTGCCCGACGTGCCACCTTAAGGTTAAAGGTCAAATGAGGTAGACGCATGGAAAAATGGATGGGTTTATTTATTTTTTGACAAATCTCAGTAACTGATTCCATAACAGGATTTTGGTAGCTTTCAATATTTCTTATCTTCAAATCACCCAGTTTGATTTTTTTCTATTTTCCAATTTTATTTTTTCTATTTTTTCTACTTAATTTTAAATTAATATTAGTTATATTATTATTTGTTATTTTCTTTGTTGTGATTGTTACACATTTGAAACTTAATATTTTAATATATTTTTGTTAATATTATTTTATCTTTTTGCATATTGTTTTCAGTTTTTTACTCATTTTTGTTTCGTGACTCATTTAATTTAAAATATGAATATGTTGTTCATCAATATTATTTTATCTTTTTGTATATCATTGTTGTTAGATTTTAAATTTGTATGAAATGTTTATTTCCATATATACTGATATTTTTTCCATAATCACAAAATTAAATATATAAATATTACATACATGAATCCTCTTTTTCTATTGTTCCCATTTATTATTTTAACATTTTGGTTTACAGTTTACCTATTGAGTTTACGTGTTGCTTCATGTTGGATTATGCATTTAAACATTTTTTCACATTTTGCATTCTGCTTGCTGATGAAAACATTGAGTTATTGATTATCGATTTGCTGCACCTTCAGCTTCTTCATGCCTGTATCTGTGTGTGTCGCTCCACAGACAGCAGGAGGTTTGCAGGAAACATTTTAAGACTCTGGGCGATTTAATCCGTAATTACAAGAGGAAGACCAAGGACTGGCCGTTCATCTGCGCCACGCGTTGAAAAGAAAAACGCCCATGTTGATCCAGCCGCCGAGGAGAACAGAAACACAACCTGAAGCTTCGGCCGGAGCGTCGGCCAGAGGATGGGGCGGAGGATCAGCTGGAGGATCAGCTGGAGGATCAGCAGGAGGATCAGCAGGAGGATCAGCAGGAGGATCGGGTGGAGGATGGTGTGGAAGATGGGGTGGAAGATGGGTGGAGGATCAGCAGGAGGATCAGCAGGAGGATCGGGTGGAGGATCGGGTGGAAGATGGGGTGGAGGATCGGGTGGAGGATCGGGTGGAGGATCAGCAGGAGGATCAGCAGGAGGATCGGGTGGAGGATCAGCAGGAGGATCAGCAGGAGGATCGGGTGGAGGATCGAGTGGAGGATGGGGCGGACACTCATTGCAGAGAGGAGCTGCTCCTTTACCTGAAGAGGATAATGACTATGAAAGTACGTGAAATGTTTAGTCTTGGTTACCTGCAGTGTTCTTTTACTCTCTGTTTTTTAATTGAACTTCTCTGTTTTACTGCAGATGCTCCAAATTCAGATTATGTGGTTATTCCAGATTAACTGTCAAACCAGCCTGAAACCGAAGGACAACAAGAACACAGACTGAACTTTATTTGGGATTAGATGCTTTATTTTTTATGCAAAGCTCTGAGGAGATTTATTGCATTTGCACAATTTAGGTAAAAAAAGCCTGAAAAGGTGTGTGAATGTAGAGTGAATGTCCTCCCAGTTATTGACTCTGAATGAGAGGATGAACTTCTGCAGTTTCTCTGTGAGCGCAGAAGAAGAAGAAAGAAGAGAAGTAGCGCTCTGCAATCACAAAAGCTGTATTTACTTTGACATTTTGTTTTACTCCTGGCAGTAGAAACTTTGATATTTAATATAGACATTTTTGTGCTGTTTGTTCTGATGTGCATAAAATAAATCTTATCTGAACATCATTAAAGGGTCATAAGCTGTGAAACGCAACAAAATATCTGCAAGAATTTAAATCCCTTCTTTCAACAGGAAGACGGGCATCAAGTGATCAATAAAACATTTCCCCATAAGTGACATAATCTGCTAGATTTAAAACAAGCTCCTCTATCTAATTAGTAAATTTGTCTTGTTTCCAGTGTACAAAGATATTTTCATCGTGAATGACATCACAAATACTTGGTATCATTTTGTGTTTTTGCGTGTGGTTTTGAGAGCAACTCAGGACATTTCTCAACAATTTAAGAAACCTTCGATTGTATCAGCAAACCTACAAAAATGTAGAAAGGAACAGAAGAATCAGCAGAAAAAGGTCAGACTGAGGGACATTTCGCTGACATGTGGTGTCTCCAAGACGAAAGTGAAGAAAGTGAAAGGACATTTAAAACTTGATTTAGTGAATGATTTCTTAATGTTTTCGTAGATATTCTGGGATTACAACTCTTTTGTTCCACTCATGTAAGGTTTTACAGATAGTTTGTTCTTCTTTTTTTTAAAGTGCAGATATTTTCAGCAGAAACTCGTCAAAATAATTGTGAGAATTTGTTTTTGCAGTGTGAAAAAAGCTTTGGTGCTGTGCAGAAATTCCCGATTCGCTTACAGTTCCTCCAGAAACACACATCTAGTCTTGTGCAGATGGTGTGTTTTTTATTTATGTTTTTGGGTTTCTTTGGTGCAAGGATTGCCAATTGACTAAAAAAGCAGACAGTCTGAAGAAAGAGGACACCTCAGAACAATGTTCCAAAAGAGTCTGTTAAAAGGAGAACTGGATAGAAATAGGACATATAATTCAGTTAAATGTGGAAGTAGATCACTACATAGAAGGTAACCAAAAAAAAACAATGAGTCACTGCTGAGCCGCAGCAGCAAACTACAACCGAACCCAGAGTGCGTTCAGAGGAACTGAAAGAAACAGTGCAGAAATACAACCAAATCCTGCTACTGCGTTAGATTCCCACTTTAGCTCCTGAAGTCTGAGGACAAACGTCTTTACATGCAAGCAGATTGCTGCAGTTCATCCAGTGAACTCATTCATTACACCACAGGGACCAGACTTTCTTCTCTGCTGCAGTGAAGCTGAGTTTAAACATTTTAAATCAAGCCTTAAACTGAAGAAATATGGAATATATTTATGGTCAACCATTATGTTTGAGTAGAGAACAGAATTTTAACTGTCAGTGTTAATAATTCATTTCAGCAAATATTATCTCTGTCTAAAAAGCTAAATCTAACTAAATATTTAGATAGCTAAACAGTCAGCCCACAATTTAAAAAATGAGGTCAAAACTAAATGAGTTGAAGCTGCAAATTTAGCTAGCAACCTAAATATTTAGACCAAAAACTGCATATTCAGGTAGAAAACTAAATATTGAGCTACAAAGTAAATAGTTGAAAGATAAGAATTTAGTTCACAAGTTAAATATATGGCCTACAAACTAAATATTTATCCAGCAGACTAAATATTCAGGCTGGACCTGGTGCCTTTAGATCTGAATGTTGCAGCTGAAGTGAATTCGTGTCGGACCAGGTAACATCTCTACACTCTGTAACCGGATCGTTGTGATCCTCTGCTGCTGCTGCTCTTCTTCTTCTTCTTCTTCCCTTGTTCTCTGATATGTGAGCTGCTGTGTCGAAATCCAATCTCTCTATTCAACCCTGACATCAGCAAAGCCACATTTGTAAAATACATTTTCACGTTTATGAAATTCGGTGTAATTATTCCATTTCTGTTTTTACTGCCTTATAACAAAGATTAAACTGGGTTTGAAGATTTTTTGCTCTGTTTCTCACATTATTTAGTGTTCTGTCCTTTATTAAATCAATTTAATTGGAATTGATTGAAATGTTTTCACTCTTTTCTGTAAACATGGTTATGAATGAAAAACCAAATCCAGATTCAAAATCACTTAAATCCTCTTTTTTTTCTGCTTTTCTTACATGTAACAGCCAACTTTCTTGAGCAGCTTTGAGTTGGATTAAAGCGATGATTAATAACAAAAAGCTGCTGTGTGCCATGTTTATCTCTTTCAGTGACCTGAAGTTCAAAATGAACCATGAAAATACTTTTGGGTTCATAGTTGCAAAATTAAACATTTTCTGCAATTAAACGGCTTTTAGAAATATAAATGACTTTTTAGGTTATTTTAGTGTTTATTATAATGAGTTTCTAGGTGATCTGTTCATGATACACAGCCTTACCAAGCACTCGCCAAACAATAAAGGAAGTGACAAACCAAGATATTCTCAGTCACACACACTCTGACCTCTTTTTACTTCAAGCCTTAAGCTGTATTTTAACTGTTTAGTCCTATTTGTACTTTCTGAAGGTTATAAAAAACAGTTTCAGATGCATTCTGAGTCTGGGTGGCGCTGAACGTGTGAATCAAATTTCTCACATTACAATCCGTTGGTCAGCTGAAGTGATACTCTCCTTATTGCTAGTCATATGAGGCTTCACATGGTAACCTTGGTGAGGCTTCACATAGTGAGGCTTCACATGATTACCATGTGAAGCTTGTGACACTTCTTCGATTTAAAGGCGCTGTGCACGTGCAACTTTTCCACCTTGGAGGCAGAAAACCTGAACAATAGGATCATCTGTCACTTCCTTATGCTTTGCATGATAAAACCCTGGTTACAATCATGCAACAAAGTGCATGAGAAGAGGCTGAAACACAAGAGGCTTTATGGACAAGAACATAACCACACATCCTGCCTGTTTTCACAACTCTTAGCGACGCTGCATTCAAGCCCCTTTTTTGTTTTTCACAGATCTGCTGCCAGCCGAATCAAAGTAAAACTTAGGCGTCAGTTTTACTGTGTAGATAGCTTTCAGCCTGCACATTTAAAGATAATTAATATTCTATTCCTAATACAATAAGGGGAGGTGAACTCAAAGAAATGGTAAAATGAGAGAGGCTGTCAAACGAGATCTGGTTTAACCGCAGTTTTTTTGCAGTTTGATGTTTTCAGATGAAGCAACAGCAGAGCTGAATCAAAGAGGCCGACTGACGGGGGATTTTAGATTCTTCTCATTTTTAAAACTGCCATATTTACTGTTTTAGGTCAAATTGAACAACATTCTGTTTTCATATTATATAATTTCATATTATAATAATAATATGTGATTGCTTATCTTATAAGCTAAACAAAAATGAGGCAATTATCAATACATATCGACACAAAATCAACTCATTTTAATAATATAATTTATTTAATTTCTACTATGTTTTTCTTGGCCAGTTATGTTTAATCAGATGTTACAATGGAAATATGTTTAAAATATAGCCGAGTGCACCTTTGCTTTCAAGTTAATTTAATGCATTTTTCAGACGGGTTTGATTTTATCTACAAATAATAAAAGTGACCTTCTTTAATGTAATTATGTTGTGCTATTATGTGTATTTAGATTCTTAGAAATGCAACATGTTTGCTCATATTTTGTTTTATTTGTTTTAAATTGAATCAAGCGTTTGATTTGTCTGATCAACTTTTATTCTTATTTAATTTTATTACAATTTTAAAGGTTTATTCTTCCTTACTTAGATTCTCAAAATATGAGACAGATAATGAAAAATAAACAGAAGTTGGGAGTAACTTTTACTGAGTAACCTTTTGGGAAAACAAATCTATCAGGAGAAGTTTTTATTTGGGTTATATTATTTTGAACTGTTGCTGCTCTTAAAATAAAGTAAAATTAATTTTAGTCTTTAAAATACAAGAATTTATACGTAGTGGTATAGACAATGATCATAGGTGATCATTGTCTCAATGATCACCTATGTAATCTTTTTATTAAACTTTTTAATTCTTACCTGAATAATGTCTTGGATGGCAACTTTTACTTTTACTTTTACTTAGGTAAAGATTTGTTGAAGTAGAGCCACTCTTTTGCTGTATGATACAATTGGGCTCCAAAATGAGATATATGAAAACTTAACTCTAAAACAAGACTTATTTTTTCCACGCCTGTCAAAACAAAGATTATTCAAATTGTTGCGGTAAAATTTTACTGTAATATATTGAATTACTTGTACTTTTCCGTCATTTCATTGATTTTATTTTATAACTTAATTACATTTTTATTTATTTGAATTTTGCTCAAATTTGTTTTGTTTTATTCTTCATCCAAACTAAAGTCAGCGGCTGCGCCACTTCCGTATATGACGTACTTCCTTCCTGCTGAATGACGGAAAAAGAGAGGGGGGGCTCTGCGGAAAAAAAGGCTTTAGATTGAAAAACGAAACTGTTTTTAGTCATTATAATAATTAGAATATTGATGTAAAATCATACTGTTTTAATCAAATTGACATTGATAGTAAATAGAAGTAAAACTGGACTTTTAAGTGAAAATGAGAGCGCTCGGTCTCCCCCGTCTTCCCGACATGGTTCCTTCCTTCCCCGTTCGAAACAGAAGCGCGAGGACGTTACTGCCGGGGAGACTGTTGATGTTTCCCGAAGACAGAAAAAAATAACCCAGGTACTCAGAAACAAGCAAACAAAGATTTACTGTGACACAGAAACACATAAAATATAGTCCTTATTTAACTACACTCCTCGTTTCTTCTTATGTTGTGAAAATGTAGGGTAATCCACAAATTCTTGTTAGCAGCTTTAGGGATCAAAGATGGACGCTCGTTGAAACGAGTAGCAGAATTTGGTTGTTAAATCGTTATAACTGGCGGTTTTTCCTCCTTCAGGATGGACATAGCGACGTGTTTAAAGTCTCTGCTGGTGGCCATCCAGCAGTACAGAGACAGCAGGACCGTTCAGCACACTGCGCAGCTGCAGAAACAGGTGGAGGTGAGCGCTCAGGGGGATTGTTTTGGACTGTCACACACACACAGACACACACACACACACGTTTGATAGCTTTATAGTTCTGGAGTTGTACTCTAAATGGTGTTCTCCAATTACAGTAACACTTCGACATATTTTAGAAGCTACTGAAGCAAGAGTAAAAAGTATTTGATAAAAAGTTTATTCAAGCACTGCAGCTGATATAATTATCAATCATTTAATATTTGCAAATTACATCATCACAAATACCAAAATATAAAATTATGTTAAATTTTTGGTATTTTAAGAACCAAAATGACAATAATTTATTTAATTAGCAAAATATTAAATCAGGGAAAACAAAATTATTCAGAATTTTGGGTTAAAACATGTTTGATTTTTATTCAGTGGAATGAAAATCCAGACATTTTACTCAAGTAGTAGTAGAGATACTTCATAATAAAATTACTCAGTAAAAAGTACAGCATAGTAAAATATTCCTAAAAGTAAATTTTTTCAATAAAGTTACTCGAGTAAATGTATTTGAGTAACTGTAACTAATTACTATCCAACTCTGTGCAAGACTGACTGCTACAGAAGATTCTTCCTGACCACAGCCTCGCCATGAACGTTTGAGGAAACTTGGATGATACGAGTTGTGACAACATTTAATTTTTATTTAGGTTGAATAAAGTATTTTTTGGTTTGAATTAACAAACGTCTCGCTTCTTAGACAAAAATAACTGGAACTTCAGAGGAAAACTCATAAAATGTTTGTTTATGTGTTTAAATGTTATATAAAGTGGATTTTAAAGCACAAACACTGATTTTAAAACATCCGGTATTTGTCAGATAAAGAAATGTAACCATGACGCATTTAAAACCACAAACCTGACATTTGCTGAGTGATTCATCTGGTGAGCAAATGAATTGGTCAGAGGTTAAAAAGCAGTTTAGTAACCAGGTTTCCTCACTAGGTCTTTAACACACTTTTAAAGCGCATCATTATTCAGCTTCCTGTCAGCATCCCACATATTGACGGCGCTTAATGTCAAATTTAAATCGGAATTGTTTATTCATTTTCCTCTCATCAAGTCATTCACATTTAAAATAAAAGTATCTGATAGTTTTCTAGCAAACATTTGGAGGTTTTCAGTCCAAACTTGTGTTTGTAGCTTTACAGTAGAGATTGTACTGACAGGGAAGTTTAGTCTGACACTAATGACTAGAGCAGAAAAACAACTACATAATCAGATTCATTTCATTTGTTTTATTGCATTCTCTGCACTAAATAATAAATATGAAATACTTCAAGTAACATAACTAAAGAAAATCATGAATCAGGAGCAGAAAGAAATATGAACTTATAATATTTTCCCCATATTCACATAAACATAAAATTCAGCTTAGAAGACTATTTCAGACACACAACAGATGAACAGCAAAACATCAGCTTAATCAACGCCATATTGCTTCATCCTAATCATTTTATCTCATTGTCAAGGTTATTCAGACATTGACATCTTTAATTTGAACACATCTTTCATCATTGCTGCTCTGGATCAATTAAAAAAAATCTCTACTTGGGATGAACCAGATGAACCAGTTCCAGCTGTTATTTTAAAGGTTATTATAGTTTTTAATATTTCTGTCCTGCTGGTTATTTTGTATTACTAGAGGGCAGCTTTTTGCTTGTTTCCTTTGAGCTCCAGGTTTTCAAATGGACTTGATCTTCAGCTCAGCTCAGTTTCAAATCCGGAGTCTGTTTGTGTTGTTATAAACAGATCATTTCACCATGTTGGTTTTAAAAGGCCTGACAGAAAGTTTTCTGTCAGGTCTGAAAACCTTCAGGCCTGACAGGTTGTGATTTCTGTGCTGCTGGTTTTGTTTCAGGAGCTTTCCGCCCTGAAGTGTGACGGCCTGCTGTCCTCGGGTCAGTTTTTACCCACAGAGTGTGTGAGTGGACTGGTGGAGCTGGCAGGAAACCCGAGCACCAGCCCGGTTCTGACCAGCGGCATCATCTCCCTGCTGGCCCAGCTGGGTGAGTTCTGCCGCGGTCGGGTCGGTTCGGGTCGGATTCCTGCCCTCTTTCTGCATCGCTGCGTTTTATTCTCCTCTCTCAGGGAACGATGACGCCAGTCGGGAAGTTCTTCACAGCAGCTACAACCTGACCAGCACGCTGGCTGCTGTCATCCATCACTATGGCAACACACCTGGGGATCCTCTGGTGCTGCAGGTAGAGACAAACAGCAGCAACATGGAGAACTTTTAAAATACATTTCTTCTGATAGTATTAACATACGAACGAGGAAATTACTTGATTTAGTTTTTATTTTCACTCATATTTTGGTTTTTACACCTTTAGATTTCATCATAAAGCAGGTTTAGCGTAAACTGAACTTATTCTCTTTGCAAATCAAGATGGGCTCTCAGTCAGTTCTGCAGAAGCCAGGTGTTAAAGTGGTGATTTCTTATGTTTCACCTGTTCTACTTCTTTAAATTAGCATGTTAGCACGTTGAGCTCTGCTCTGCAGTCAAACTGCAGAGGCAAAGACGCGTGTCAGCCGGGCCCGCACTTTGACCCGAACACTTCACCAAAATGATCTGAAATATTCCAAACCTGTTAAGTTCACGTGCATCAAGTTCTGATTTTATTTATTGTGTTTATTTAAAGGCAGAGTCAGAGTGTCTCTGTTCTGCTGTCCCTCTCCATATGTTGTGATTTTAATGATTTGAATTTTGTGTCTCAGTGTCTCCAGGTGCTGCAGAAACTGACCTACAACACTCGCACCTTCCAGTTCTCAAACTACATCCGCGAGCTCATCAGTTTTCTCCTGACCAACATGTAAGAGCCGTAATCTGATCATGAACATGAGCAATAATCTGCCAATCTCATCATCACCGTTTCCCCTCAGCCAGTCGCAGAACGAGGACGTGGTCATGCCGTGCCTCGGCCTGCTGGCCAATCTGTGCCGGGACAACCCGTCAGTGCAGAGCCACATCAAGTCCATGGTGAGCTTTCAGCGCCGCTCAGGTTTCCGGACTAAAAATATCAGAAACTGAGAACTGCTGGCGTAGAACTTCACACCACAGATTAAAAGGTGTAGATTTAATTGTCAAAATTGAAATATTTTTAGATTTAACACCTGATTCTGCTTCTTGAAAGTTCCTCTTTTTCTGTTGTGTCAGACCACAGAATATTTTATCAACAGTATTCTGGGAACTTTGAGTCATTTGGGTCAGCAGTGGTTCTGACCTTTGAACACGACCACGATAAAATGTTTTTATTTAACCACTTAACTGCACACAAAGGCCTTTCACAATCACACTTTTTTCTGGACAATACATTGTCTTTGAAGTTATTGCGATAAACAATAATATTGCTGTTCTGAGACCATTTTCAACTGATATAATTGGTAAAATGATGCAAAAAGACATTCTAAAAGATTAATAAACTTTACTTTCTGACAAACATTTGTCACTGGAACTGGAAGACATTTTAAATATCCAAAAATAAATAAACAAAACAACAGAAACAGCAAATAAAATGAAATCTCTGGAAACGAAATGATCTTTTAACAAAATGTTTAGTTGAGGCCAAAACAGAAAAGTTTTATCATCCAGTTTTTGGTTGAAAGAGAAAATCAACAAATTGTGCAGATGATAAATGATGCAGCTGTAATAGTTCATAAGACTTAACAGGAAACAGAGAAAACTGAACTGATCGACACTTAAACAGACGATAAAGATTCAAGACGCATCAATCCGATATTAATATCTGCATCGACCCTGAAAACAATTTGGTGACGATATTAGAGCATCAAACTTTATTATTTATCTTACATTATATATTTTTATTCCTGGTTTCACTTTCTGAAGCATGAGAGAAGTTTGTTGAAGTTTATTTTTACATGTTTGACCAACGTAATCAACCTGTTTGTTTCTTTATTATTCATTTTAAATGGGCTGTTTTATTCCTAATTGTTCTGACTGAACAAATTCAATTTGTTTTTGCATATTTCAGTGAACTTGTGAAGCTACTGCTGTGTCTAAATGTTCTGCATAGCTGCAGAGTCATCAAATAAAAGTATTTCCTCCTGTGTGTAAAACCTGCATTTTTGACACTTTTTTTCCCGCGAAGGAGAACGTGAGGCAGCTGTACCGAACTCTGATCAACTTCCTGGCTCACAACAGCCTGACGGTGGTGATCTTCACGCTGTCCATCCTGGCCAGCCTGACTCTGAATGAGAAGGTTGGCGAGAAGGTCAGCAGAAACCTTTCTGATTTTTACTCATTTTAAGGTGTTTTTGGATCCTTTATGTTTTGTTTATGCTAAATGGTGCAGCTGTAACTTGTTTCTGGTTAAATGCTGTTCCGTCTGAAAGTGTGGAAATCGCCTCTCTGTCTTTTTAGTTCTGCTTCCTCTTTTTGTTTCTTGTCTGCGTCATAAAAAGCTTCTGGTTGTTCACACCTTTTTTTATCTGCAGCTTTTTGAGGCAAAGAACATCCATCAGACTTTCCAGCTGGTGTTCAACATCATCGTGAACGGCAGCGGCACGCTGACCAGGAAGTACGCCGTCGACCTCCTGATCGACCTGCTGAAGAGCCCCAAAGTAGTCGATTACCTGAGCAGGTGGAGTTGATCTCTTCACGCCCAGACGCTCCACCTCCACTCTGTCTGACCACGCCTCTCTGTCTGACCACGCCTCTCTGCTTCCAGGTATCAGCACTTCTCAGCCTGCGTTTCTCAGGTTCTGGGGCTGCTGCACCTGAAAGACGCCGACTCTGCAGCCACGGTGAGACGGACAGACACCCTGAGTCCAGAAAGCCTCAATTAATCAATCAATTTATTTAAATAGCACATTTCAACAACAATTCATTTCAGTTTACGTCAGAAAAAAAATGCAAATTCATAGAAGTCACAGTTTCATTCATTATGTTTCAAAAGCAACTTGATTTAAAGGCACTCAGTGATTCAACAGTTTTACAGTTTTCTGGAAATTTGTTCCAGAAAACTGCTTCTTTAAGTTGGGCCTTCTTAAAGAGACAGAGGCCCAACTTTCACAATTTTTATAATGACTTACGTTAAAATATTTACTTGATTGTGCTATAAAACGGCTCCATGTGTCTGGAAAACATGATGCAGCCCCTGTAACGCAGCCTGTGTGTCGCTGCAGGTGCTGCAGCTCCTCCTGTCCATGTGCAGCGTCGCTGCTCTGCGCTCGCAGCTCTGCGACGTCGTCTTCCGGCCAGTCAGCGCCAAACTCAGAGCGGCCGGCCACAGACAGGCGGGCGAGGCGAACGGGGGCCGGAAAGCCGAGTGTGGGCTGGCTCTGGTGCAGTGGCTCAGCTCGCCTGTGGAGGGCGCCGAGAAATGCTCGCTGCAGACGCTGCAGCTGCTGACGGAGCTGCTGGAGGTATCAGGACTTCATTAATCTGATTTCACTCAGAGGAAACATTTCAGTTCTGATGATTATTTGTGTTTCTGATGTTAAATTACATTTTCCAGTTTCACCAGCAGAGGGCAGAGTAAGAGTAGAGATACTTCAACTTATTTATATTCAAGTAAAAGTATAAAGTAGCTGTCCAAAAAATCACTCAAGTAAAAAGTACTTAAATGATCATCAATCAATTAAGATTTAAAATTACACCATCAGATGGACCAAAACATAAAGCTAAGTGGGAAATTTGGTATTTTAAGAACCAAAATGACAATAATTCATATAAGTAACAAAGAAAGTCAGGCAGCTTTTTTAAAGTGGTTTTTTGCATAGGCATCTTTTAGTCACTAACAGCCTACAGTTTGTCTGAAGCTCTTATTTTACTCCACTGCTGTCTTCCTCAGTAAATGACCTGAAATCTGAATGTTGTTGATGCACAATATAGATTTTTTTTGTCTTTATGGGTGTGCACCTTTGAGTTGGCCTATCTTCTTCTGTCCTGATGGGCGTTTCTGTGCATCCAGGAGTCGCTGGGAGCGGAGAGCGTGTCTGAATCCACGCTCAGCTTCGTGGAGATGTTGCTTCCGGTCGCATTGGGGCTTCTGAAGGGCCTGGATCCTGCAAAGGGAGACGCTCACCTCAGCAAACACTGCCACCGCATCACACACGTCTGCACCCTGCTGCTCAATATCCTCACCCACAGGCCTGCATGCATGTCTCTGTTAGCGCTGTGATGCTACCTGGGGCATTTAAAGCCTTAAAATTCTGCATGTTTTAAATTAATGTCCTTTTCTGCGGAACTAAATATCTAAAGATGACAGAAAAATATTGGGTTCAACTTCACCTTGTTATCTGTTCAATAATTTATAAATGTCAGTTTTAAACTACATATTTACTAAGAAAGCTCAATATTTAGTTTACAAAATATTTAACTGGAACTCAAAAATTACTTACCAAACTAAACTTTTAGTCAGTAAGCTAAATATTGAGGCTGCAAGTTAAATTAAATATTTAATTAGCAACATAGACGTCTATTTAGCAAAGTAAATATTCAACTCCAGTCTAACGATTTAGTTTGCAAGCAGGTTCAAAACAAAATATTGAGCTCTGAGTTATTGATCTATGAAGCTTAAACAACGAACTAAAACCAACCAACCTGGAGCTAAATGGAGAGGAATGTTTCCTTCACCGGCTCCACCCCTCTGCTGCCAGGATCACACCAGATCTCTGGTGTCCTCTCAGGTGAGCGCTCAGCTCTGCCTCTCGCAGGTAGAAACTCTCCTCTCCTGTTGCCATAGCAACGGCCCCCTGACTTGCCTGCCTCCCGTCTCCGGTAGCAACTTCAGGTGAGTCAACATAAACCTTTATAGGGAGGGATTTATTATACAATTACATTATTTTCTAATCACTGCGTCAGTTGGCGAATTAAAGCTGTAAATAATTTAAATTGATCCGTTGTGGAATATTGATCCGTTGTGGAATATTGATCCGTTGTGGAATATTGATCCGTTGTGGAGCAGAAATTGTGACGTTGTGGTTTTCCTTCCAGCCAGTTGTGTGCAGAAGCTCTGCTGAAGGTTCTGGAGCTGATGAGCCGCCTGAGGCAGCAGGTGAAGGACATGGAGACGAGCTTCTACAGGATGCTGCAGGTGAACTACGATTCCCATGAGCCCCCGGCACTTCCTGGTTAAATCTTCAGCGTCTCTCATTAAACCCTGCAGGACCAGAGGACGGTGACCCCCCTGTCTCTGGCTCTGACCTCACACCACAGGGAGCGCGTGCAGACCGGACTCGCCCTGCTGCTGGAAGCCACGCCCCTTCCAGACTTCCCAGCACTGCTGTGAGCAGACCAGTCACAATAATTCACTTTACTGGACGATCGGTTGTTCCAGAAGTTATTGCAATAATCAATGATATTTGTAACGACAAGAACACATTTCCAAAGATCAGGAATCTTTAAATGCTGGAACTGAAAGATGTTTAAATACACGCAAACAAAACAAACAAACAAAATGAATTATAAAGTTTCTCCAAGCAAAGTTGTCCTTCAAAAAAATGTTTAGTTGAGACCAAAACACCAGACTAAAAATTTTTATCGTCTAGTTTTTAGAAGAGCGAAAAATAATAAATCAAACAAATGGAAATTATTGCGTTCACTTTAATTTATCATTCGATGAATTGATCTGTTGCTTATTTTGACAGTGTGTGTGTGATTAATAAGAAACATGACAATAACGCCTGTTTGGTATAAACAGTGAAACCTCAGATTTCTTATTTACCAGGTTTGATTTTAATCAGTTCTTATTTTTAGAAAAGAAATGACAGAAAATGTTCCCTGCCGTCCGGCTTCCTGTCCTGCTGCTGACTGAGTCTGTGTTTGTCCTGCCAGCCTGGGGGAAAGCATCGCCGCCAACAACGCATACCGCCAGAGGGAGGCGGAGCTGTCGGCGAAGCGCCTCGCCGTGCAGGAAGTCCCGCCTCCCTGCATGAACACCAGCGTGATGGATGCCTCCAGCAGCAACAAGAGCGTGAGCAATCTGGTGGAGAAGCTGCAGACCGGCATGGAGGTAAAAACTCTGGAGCCGTTTGCACAGCAAAGACCTTTTATCTGCTTGGGATTTTATGTGACAAAATGGAGAAAAATGTTCTGATTTTCATGTTTTAACAAATAAAATCATGAACAGTGCAGTGCAGACTTTTGCTCGGCTGTCGGAGTTGCATCTGATTCTGCAGGTGCTTTCTGGTTTCTCTTCCAGCTTCGGAGGGAATCGGTTTCTCTGGGTTTTATTTAGGGGTATTAGAGTGAAGGGGAGAGCAAATGCAAGGCGCAGCTCAAATCTTCAACTGTCAAAAACATTAATGTCCAAGTTTCTTTTTAAAAATGGGATAAAATGAATTAATTATGAAAATTTGGACCGATATCCGACATCAATATTCCTTTAGTTTAGTTTAGTTTAGTTTCTAGAGTAAATATCTTAGTACAGTTGAAATAAGACAACTAACACACAAGTAACCATTCAGTTACAGGTAGTTTGAAGTCAAATATTTCTAAAGCTGCTAAACTTCTTGTGATTAATGAATTATTTCACTTCAGTTACTCAGAATAATCTGCCATTGGAGCTGGCACGTTTTCATCAATATTAAGGAATTACTGACTTAACACAAGCTGTTATTTCTTGCTGAAAAGTTACTTTCAAGTCAGTTTTATCATATTTCAAGGTGTTTGCTACACCAAAAATACTTGGTAAGATTTTGTGTTTTTGCAGTGTACAATTTATTTGCTGTGATTTTATTCTATTTTGCAGCTGCAGGAACTGACGAAAGACTCACCTCTGTCTGAGATCATCGATGTTTATGAGCAGAAACTGGCTGGGTTTGCTGTAAGTTTAACAAAACATCAGAATTTATGTTAAAATATCCGATCAGCTGCTTTAAATCTCCTGTTCAGTTCATCTTCCAGCTGATCTCCTGCTGTTTGTTTGTTTCAGTCCAAGGAGAGCCGCCTGCAGGACCTGCTGGAGGCCAAAGCTCTGGCTCTCTCTCAGGCCGACCGGCTGATCGCTCAGTACCGACTGCAGAGAGCTCAAGCTGAGGCAGAGGTAAACTAAATCATTGTGATTCATAACGAACATCCAGGTAAACTAAATCATTCTGATTCATAACGAACATCCAGGTGAACTAAATCATTCTGATTCATAACGAACATCCAGGTAAACTAAATCATTCTGATTCATAACGAACATCCAGGTAAACTAAATCATTCTGATTCATAACAAACATCCAGGTAAACTAAATCATTCTGATTCATATGGAACATCCAGGTAAACTAAATCATTCTGATTCATAACAAACATCCAGGTGAACTAAATCATTCTGATTCATATGGAACATCCAGGTAAACTAAATCATTCTGATTCATAACGAACATCCAGGTAAACTAAATCATTGTGATTCATATCGAACATCCAGGTGAACTAAATCATTCTGATTCATAACGAACATCCAGGTAAACTAAATCATTCTGATTCATATGGAACATCCAGGTAAACTAAATCATTCTGATTCATATGGAACATCCAGGTAAACTAAATCATTCTGATTCATATGGAACATCCAGGTAAACTAAATCATTCTGATTCATATGGAACATCCAGGTAAACTAAATCATTCTGATTCATAACGAACATCCAGGTAAACTAAATCATTCTGATTCATATCGAACATCCAGGTGAACTAAATCATTCTGATTCATAACGAACATCCAGGTGAACTAAATCATTCTGATTCATAACGAACATCCAGGTAAACTAAATCATTCCGATTCATAACGAACATCCAGGTAAACTAAATCATTCTGATTATGAACATCAGTGAAGAGAAACACCTCAGATTCTCCACATAACAAAATAATCTGTAACTCTTTAACTCAGCTTCTCACACAAATACAGGAAATGATGATTCTTGGGATCTAGTTGAGATATTGAGCCTTTATGTTTTTGAGTTAGAAAATAAATAAATGCTTCACAGTTTGAAAACCTGCTGAGTCATCAAACTGATCCGTTTTAGACAATATGAACTCCAGCTGGTTCTGTTTGATAACCCATCAATGATTTACAGCAATAACTTGAGTTATTTACCTAGGGATTTAACTTTTCAGTAATGTGTTACAGTTTCAAGAAATATGTAGCTATAAACCAGATACATAGTTAACAAGCTAAATACTTACCAATAAAGTAAACATTTAGTTATCAAGTGTAATACAGAGCTCCAAACTAAATAGTTAGTTTAGAAAGTAAATATTTATCTAGTTAGAATGCTAAATATTTAGCTTGGGAACCACAAATTTAATTAACAGCTACATATTTAGTTTGTCATGTTAATGTTTAGCTGTTACCAAACATGAACTAATTAGCTAGTTATTAGCCAATTATTTTTCTTCAAACTAAGGATATAATTAGCAAATTAATATGTTGTTGGTAAGTAAAATATTTAGCTTGAAATTAAATATTTTGTGTACAAACTCAATATTTAGCTTCAAACTACATATTTGGTGAGCAAACTAAATATTTATCTTTCTAAATAATTATTAAGTTTTAAACCATGACATTTATAAATGAATTAATAAGATGGTGAAAATATAAACTCTTCTCCTATAACAGACTAAAATTATTTTACGAGCGTTATAAACGTCGTCTCGTCGGTTGAACCTTGAAATCCTCCAGATCTGCCGTTTCTCTCCCGCTGGTTTCCCTCCTGCAGGCGCGGAAGCTGGCCTGCCTGCTGAAGGACGCGGAGCGCCGGCGGGAGGATCTGCAGGGCGAGCTGGGGAACCAGGTTCTGGAGGTGGAGCGCTCCAGAGCCGACATGGAGGAGCTGCTGCAGCACAACGCTCGGCTGCAGAGGGACTCTGAGGAGCACCAGACTCTGAAAGGAGCTTACAATGCTCTGCTCAACAGGTCAGAGGCAAAAACAAAACCTGGTTTCTACTGCAAATATGCTACTGTACTTTAAGACAAAACTAACTTGTAGTCTGAGTTGGGTTGCAACTAGTTTCATTTGCTTGAATAACTTTTCACTTTTGCTGGAGTAATTTCATTGTAAAATATTTCTTCTTGAGTAAAATTTCTGGATTGAATGAAACACAAACAACCAAAAATTCACCAGTTACAGACTCACAGCTGCAGGTTTTGTAAAAGTTTTAATTAAAGAAACTGATTTGGAAAAATGATCTGTTATTTTTGTGTCAGTGGTATAAATTATTGTGATTTTGATTCTTTAAAATACCAAAATTTCCACTTAGCTTGATATTTTGGTTAATCTGATGATGTAATTTTTGAATATTAATGATTGATAATTTGATCTGTTACTTTTTACCAAATACTCTTTTACTCTAATTTAGTCATTTTTTTTTGTACAGATATTTTTTGGATGCTCTGCTAATCACCAGCTTTCAGCCATAAACAGGAATTTGTTTAAAGTCAATAATTTATTAATATTGATGAGAAAAAACTTATTCCATTGGAAATTATTTCACTTAAAACATGTAAAAAATGTCTTGTTATAAGTGAAATAATCTGCCAATAGATCTAATACCTTTTTTACATGAAGGTATAAAAAGTAATTGTTGACTTTAAACAAACTGTTTTGCTGAAAAGTTACTTGTAAGCTAGTTTTCTCTTATTTGCTCTAATAATTAGACCAAATCCACTTGGTAAGATTGAAAGTTTTTGCCGTATTAAATCTGCTGATTTTTTCCTGTGATGTTTTCACCTGTGCAGGTTTAATGAAACGGAGCGTTTGCTGAAGGAGCTGCAGGCGGCCCACATTTCTCTGAGCAAACAGAGCGACACGCTGAGGAAGAACCACGAAGCTCTGCAGCTGCACAAAGACAGGCAGGAGCCGACAGCCGGAGCTTTTCAGCTGCTTTTTATTGTCTGAATTTGAACAAAGTGAAAGTTTGGTTTGGTCTCCGTTTGTTTCAGAATCACATCAGAGCTGCAGGAGAGAGAGGCGGAGGTCAAATCCCTCCAGCTGGAAGTAGAGAAGAAGAACAGCGACGTTGCAGGTCAGTTTGGCAGCGATCCGACCTCTGAGCTAAACCTGTCATCATAACACAATGTGATTAACAATAATGTTGTTTGAGACAATTTTCTCCTATTGTAACAGTAATAAAGACATGAAAATGTCAACACATTGTCAAAGGTCAATAAACTTTAAACTCTGATGAACATTCAACGACAAATCTTTAAAATGGAAGTTATTGGGCTTGTCTTTATCAATTATGCAATTCATTGATTACTGCGACAGGCTCCACTGTAGTTACTAGTTTGCAAATGTTTCTGCTGATTTGTTTTAGGTCTGCATGCAAACCTGCGGTCCAAAGAGGAGACGCTGAGGGAAAAGGACCAGGAGAGGAGAGAGCTGGAGGAGACGGTGGACGTTCTCAGGAAGGAGCTGAACAAAACGGAGCAAGCCAGGAGGACGTTAGCATCAAGGTCAGTGGCTAGCTGTGGCTAGCTGTTAGCAGTGGGACACAACAAGCACGCTTCTTGTTTGTTTTGGGTTCATTTTCACAAATCTGCTAAAGAAGGCCTCCTAAAATGGCCGCTTCCAGTAAACCAGAGTTTCTGCACAAAATCACAAAAGTATCAGAAAGTTCATTTCTCTATACCAGTGGTGCCCACAGTGGGTCCTCGAGGGCCGGGGCCCCGCTGGTTTTAGTTCTGTCTCTGGTGGTCAATGTTCTTCTCAGTCCAAGTCCGTTAAACCAGGGAGAGAACGAAAACATGCAGGATACCGGGCCCCCAGGACCCACTGTGGGCTCCTCTATGGGCTCCACCGTGGCCCCACTATGGCTCCACTGTGGCCCCACTGTGGCTTCACTGTGGCCCCACTATGGCCCCACTATGGCCCCACTATGGCTTCACTGTGGCTCCACTATGGCCCCACTATGGCCCCACTATGGCTCCACTGTGGCCCCACTATGGCCCCACTGTGGGCCCACTGTGGGCCCACTGTGGGCCCACTGTGGCCCCACTATGGCCCCACTATGGCTCCACTGTGGCCCCACTGTGGGCCCACTGTGGCCCCACTATGGCTCCACTGTGGCCCCACTGTGGCCCCACTATGGCCCCACTATGGCCCCACTATGGGCTCCACTATGGCCCCACTATGGGCTCCACTGTGGCCCCACTATGGCCCCACTATGGCCCCACTATGGCCCCACTATGGCTCCACTGTGGCCCCACTATGGCTCCACTGTGGCTCCACTATGGCCCCACTATGGCCCACTATGGCTCCACTGTGGCCCCACTGTGGCCCCACTATGGCTCCACTGTGGCCCCACTGTGGCTCCACTGTGGCCCCACTGTGGCCCCACTGTGGCTTCACTGTGGCCCCACTATGGCCCCACTATGGCCCCACTATGGCTCCACTGTGGCCCCACTATGGCCCCACTATGGGCTCCACTGTGGCTCCACCGTGGCCCCACTATGGGCTCCACTGTGGCCCCACTATGGCCCCACTATGGCTCCACTGTGGCCCCACTATGGCCCCACTGTGGGCCCACTATGGGCTCCACTGTGGCCCCACTATGGCTCCACTGTGGGCTCCATTGCTCTACATTAATCAGTGGATAGAAGGAAGAATTTCCAGTAGCAGTTAGCGTTCCAACAACTCTGAAGGGTCCTCTGACTGAAGACTTTCATCCATTTGCTGGAACTTGTTAAGTACTTGAGGAGTTTGTGATTTTATTATTGGCCAAATGATAAAGGGTATTGATGCTATGCTAATGATTACAAATAGCTGATCTCTTATTATTCAATATTTGCTTCATTAAGCTGCAGTTTAGAAAACTAAACTGCAGCTTAATGATACTCAGTCTTCCTCTGACCTTTGACCTCTGGCAGGCGTCGTCTCTGGAGCTGCAGAAGAGCCAACTGGAGAGCAAGTTAAAGCAGAAAGAAGACGAGCTGAACAAGCACTCGGCCATGATCGCCATGATCCACAGCCTGAGCAGCGGGAAGCTGAAGAGCGACGTCAACCTGTCGCTCTGACCACAGCGCCTCCACCAGGACGGGAGAGGAGCGACACTTATGAACTCAAAGCTCATTCTAAACATTAATTCACTTTAGACTCAATAAAACACATGAATTAATATCTTTTTTTCTGAACTTATACTGAACTTTTTATATGTTTCTTGTTTGTTTTTATTGTTTATATTTGTATGTAAATGCAGTCAATAAATTAATGTCAAGAAAAAAATCCCTTGGATCAAATTTTCTTTCTGTATAAAAATTAAAACTTTAATTGTCTATGTGCACCGATTACAGTTTTCTGCCAATACCAATATACTAAATATAACAAGGAATATAACTTTCCTCACGGCTGCTCTTTCACAGGGCGACGATTGAGAGCATCCTCTGTGTGGAATGGTGGCTGCACAGCACTGGAGAGGGAACAACTGACACGGGTGGTGAGAACAGCACAAGGCATTGTGGGATGCCCCCTCCCAGACCCGGACTCTATTTACATGGGCCGGGTCAAGAAGAGAGCTGGATCCATAGCCATGGATTCCTGCCACCCGGGCCACAGACTGTTTGTGCCGCTGCCATCAGGCAAGCAGTTCAGGAATATCCGGACTACAACAAACAGAAACAGTTTCTTCCCCACAGTCGTCAGAGCTGACCTGCCGCCCCCTCCCACACATATCATAACCTCACATACACCCCCCCCACACACAGCCATATGGTTCTGCACTTTGTCACATCATCTGCACTTTGCCATAATTGGACCTGCTGCTTCTTCTTTAGTGTGTTTTTTATATATTTTTTATTTATTTGTTATATTGTTTTTGCATTGTTTTTTTATTTTTTCTATGTTCTATCTATCTTCTATCTATCTCTATCTAGGGGAGTTGCAATGGAAATTTTGTTGAATCCTGTTCAATGACAATAAATGTAATCTATCTATCTATCTATCTATCTATCTATCTATCTATCTATCTATCTATCTATCTATCTATCTATCTATCTATCTATCTATCTATCTATCTATCTATCTATCTATCTATCTATCTATCTATCTATCTATCTATCTATCATTAGCTAAAATAACTGAAGTTAACTAAAACTGGTTACATTCTTTTTTCGAGGGTTTCAACTGCAGATGAGACGCCGTTTAAATAATTTATTAAATCTGCAGGTCAGCAAAAACAACCAGGTCTGTGTTTATCTTGTAGCATTAAATTCAGCCTTCTAAGACAAGCAGTTTAATCAGTTTGTTATTTATTACTTTATCCAGCAGGCAAAATAATTGTCCCCAGAATGAATGAAATCTTTAGGAAACTTCCGGCACAGTCTGGGATTTCTCCCCTTCACTTGGATTCCTCTGGCCGATTTTTGAACGGGCCAATCAGCAAACAGAAGCAGTTGTGAACTGTGATGTCAATGTTCTGCTCTGTTATTCAGTACAGGAAGTGAAATGTAACCAATCCAAAGTCCAGACATTAAAGCAAATGGGAGCTAATTTCTAACCAGCCCTTAACTAGTTGGGAGCAAAAATGTTGCCAAGAATCATCGTCATTATGTTTTATGTGCTTTTATTGAATTTTCATAGCTGGAAGGAATTTAGCTTGAAATTATCTTCTTAATTTAGGAAAATATCAAAATGACAACAGTGGAGGAATTCCTACATGTATGTGGAACTAAATCTCTGCCATAAAGTTTGCTCAAAAGAAAAACAAAGATTTGAAAATGATTATTTTGAAACTGGAAAAAAAAGTTTTGGAACCTGCTGCCATTTTTTCAAAAAGTTGTGTAATGGTGGAATAAAAACAGTGCAACAGCAAAAACATGCCCAAATATCAAGATATTATTTGTGCATTTAAATTATCTCCTTATTCACATACTACTGTTCAGCTGTTCTACCTACATTCTTTACTAATGATCTACAAAACATTTAAAAAAAACATTGGCTTTACTCTTTATCAGTCAGACAGAATCTGACCACAATATAAATAGTGTCTTATTTATGCATAAATATGTGTGTAACTGGCTGATTCCAGCAAAGCAAAAAGTTTCTTGTTGGCTGGGAAAATCGGTTGGTATCTGTGCTTTCTGGTAACCAAAGTTCATCCATTTAACTTGTGCTATCTTAAACTTTCATTTAATGGTTGTTATTTTCCAAGATAATAAAGCCATAGTTCTGCAGAGCAAAGCCATAACCTCCACCATTTCAAGTAAGATCCTGTGAAGGCTGAACATCCACAGTGATTAAAGTGAACAAGACATCCTTCGAAATCTTGTTGACAGTAAAGTTCAGTGAATTTAGTCCATCAGTGTCAATATTCTCTGCTGATTTTTGTGTTTTTACAGCGTTTTCTGGATTCACCTCATTGTGCAAGTCTCTTTTATGTTTGATCATTTTGTATCTTGCAATCTGAGCGTCCGGCCGATTTATGGACAATCCTCTAATGATGATTCTGTTGTACAGGTCATCGTCCTCACCACCCCAGCCCCAGAAAGTGTTTGAGAAACCGTTGACTTTCAGGAACTGCTCCTCTGTCAGCAGGGAGACGCCACCAAAAGCTGCTTTTGAGTTTAATATGTAGTTAAATTTATCTATAGCCACAGATAAATGTCTGGGACGGTCAGAACATCTGTACAGGTTTCTATCATCTATTGGCACCAGGTCTACATCCGAAAATACAAAACAGTCGTAATCGTATTCTTTCAGTGCTTCAATAAATCCGATGTTCATGAGCTTGGCCGGTTGAACGCTCCGTCTCCGTCCTGGTTGATGACGTACACACCGTAGTCCAGCTGACGCATCAGGACCGGATGGACGTAGTAGAGCCAGTGGGCCAGGTGTTCATGACGGTTTCCGAACGGGACGATGACCGCCACCTAGTGGAGGGATGCAGGTGAAGAGCCAGTCAGACATTATGGACCCTGTTGCTGTTTAAATGTCACGCATGTGCACAACGCTGGAGTCCAGGTAGAGATCAGGATGCATGAATGGACACAGCGTGGAGACGACTTACAACAAGGACCAAAAAACACAGGGCCACTAAATGTACTGGAGGTAATCAGGGAACGAGACACAACAGGACAACATGGAGACACAGAAACTCAAAATAAACCCACAGAAAAACACAAACATGACAGTAACTGAATATTGTTTTACATTAACTTGGCTTCCACATCAGTTGTTCCACAATAAGTCACTGCAAGTTAACTAACCCTTAACTAACTGGTACTATATGATGATTAGCATCAAGCATGCTAACATTTATATACTCAATATTTTGCTTTTTCACAAGGGCAGATTCAAATTAAATGATATATCAGTGAGGGAAGGCAGGGAAAAATAATATATAATGATAAAATCATTTATATTGCTATTTTCTCCCTATGGTTTATACTATAAAGTATTTATTTTCCATTTAGTTTAACCAATTTGATTATTTTCCCATTCAGATGCTGCTGAGGCAGCAGCCTCTCCTCTTTCACCTGATCCTCCAATAAAATGGATAAAAACATGTCATATATGAACTGATTGTCCATAATTAGCTCAAGTATATAATGTTCAGTGTTTGTTGCAACAATCAGAAACAGCTGAGAAACATTTGATTTATTCCCTTTGCTGTGGAGCAAGAATGAAAAACACAGTATAGTACAAACCATAAATTATTTATCATTCTGTATTTTCCACTGAAACCTGGATCCCTGAGATGCTTCAAATCTTGAGTCTAAACTCTCTGACTGCATGTATTTATTTCACAGAGCTTCTGGTGAAAGTTTGCCTCACCTTCTGCCTGGCGGTGCAGCCCGGGGGTTTGAACCGACCTCCCTGCTGCAGCTCAGCTCCCACCTGCGTCCTGACCAAGTCCAGGCTGCACTTGGTTTGAAACTCCACCAGAAATGGACCCACCAGAGATGGAGGCGAGTCGGGACACGGATCCAGAGGCTGGACTGGTTTTGCAGAAGTCGCTGCTGTTTTCCAGGAGTCGTCAGGTTCTGAAAACGATGCATCACCTTCCCAAAACACTCCTGTTTCCTTTCTGGGCCTGGGTGGAAGGTGTGAGGCGGAGGGGAAAACAACAGCAGTGTCTTCACTGTGGAGTAGAAACACAGCGAACCACGTCAGCGTGAATAACGCAGAAAGCGCCACAACGCTGGGAATTTTCTCCCGCATGATCTGAAGCCTCTAGCGTTTCCACCGATCCAACAGAAACCTCTGCTCAGCTTGTCATCTGCTTTCTTGATCGGCTGGCTGAGAGGTCTGACTTCACTCCTGCAGCGGAACCGCACCTGCACTGTCACTTCTCTGTGGAAAACAGAGCGAGCCTGAGGGCACAACTCAACCTTTTCTACAAACATTTGACTTCTTCACTTTATTAAAATATTGTCTTTTTAGAACATTATAAAAAAGACAAAAACAGAAAAATCTTTAGAAATAAAAGTGGCCCCTGAAAGCTCTTGGACACTGTTGGGAGTATAAGTTTGGTTGGACTAATTTTAGAAACAGTTAACCTTTGTGCATATGAAATATTAGATGTAGCATGAATATGTTGAGTAGATTCTAAGTTAGGTAGACTTAGATAAAAATCCAAACAAAAACAACTGCTGACTCTCTAAATCATTAAGGAGGGTCTACAGGCAGAGGGGTCTACAGGCAGAGGGGTCTACAGACAGAGGGGTCTACAGACAGAGGGGGTCTACAGGCAGAGGGGTCCTACAGGTAGAGGGGTCCTACAGGTAGAGGGGGTCTACAGACAGAGGGGTCCTACAGGCAGAGGGGGTCTACAGGCAGAGGGGGTCTGCTTGAGTCAAATTCTTTGGTGTTTGTTTAGGAATTCAGTAAAACACTAAAACCTTTAGAAAACAATTCTTCTAGAAATATAATCAAATGTACTACGACATTTCTTTGAAGTATTAACAGCATGTTCTGAACTAGTTAGTGTCTAACCATACTAATTTGCTTGCATCTTAGATTACTAAAATAGAACAGGATTAGGAAACTAAAAGTTTTAGAAGTGAAATATTTCAGGTATTCTAAAAGAGTTTTTTTTTCTGAAAGAAGATAATTCTGCAGTTTTTAGATCCAAACTCACAGTTATCATCTGGCACCATATTTCTGTGTCAGTGTGTTTATAACAGAAATCAGTTTCTTGTTGAATATCTGAGGCAGAAAACCACCAGGTTGAGCTGCAGGTTATAAATTCTGGTCTGGATTGTAAAAAGGAGGA